TATAAGTTACATAATATTAAATCCATGTGTTAATGCTATTAATATCAAATTATTCATGTTTTTAAACATTTAAATCGAATATATTTATTTGATATTGATAGTATCATTAATTTGTAGCTATAATAATTGTAACAAATTTGTAACTAAAATTGTACTGCAGTTATAATTGTATTTTAATTATGATTTAATATTGATATTATAATTGTATATGAAATACAATTATGACTATAATTTATATTATATTAAATTGTATTTATGATTATAAATTATGAAATGCATTCTTATGTAAATTATACGAAAAATTATCGAAAGTATACGTATAATGATAATATAATAGAAATTCATTAAACATATTTTTTTTTATAGTATATATTTTTAAAATATTCATAAAATTAACTGTGCTTGTGTTTTTATATCAAAGAGTCATTAATAAATTCGGGAAATTTTATATATAAATTTTAAATTCATATAATTTTATATATTTCAATTTTATAAATATTAGATTATAAATTTTACAAATGTTGCTAATTTTTTTATATTAAATATAAAAAAATATAAGAGCAAAATATAAAATGCAAAAATTTGATGTTAAATTAATGATTAAGTATTAACTAAAATTTAATCAGCACCTTCTATTTTATAGAATCGCGATTCATTTATTATAAATTTAATGATATATATTCATTTTATCTATTTACGAATTCTATATCAGAACTAAATGTAAAGTAAATTAATAAATTACGATTACGAAAATATCATATTTTTTCCATGGTTTTTTCGCGGTTTTTTCGCGGATTTTTCGTTTTGTATATAAATTTCTTAGATGAGATTGCCGTTTTGATTAAAAAATCTTATAACTGTACCTCCCTGTAATATTGCTAAATATTACTAATTAAATATAAAAAAAATATCGAATAAAAAAGTCGAATATAAAAGTGTGAAGATTCGGTGTTATGTTAACGATTAAATATTAGTTTAACAAAATTTAACAATCATCTTCGATGTTATAGAATCGCGAATTAATTTTGAATTTAATAATTTGCTTTTAATCATATTTATACATTTACAAATTTCATGTCAAAACTATTCGTGTATCGGAAATATTTGTAAAATATATTAATAAATTATGAATGCGAAAAAACTGTTCTTCTCGCGTTCTTCGCGCGTTTATTAAACGAGATTGCCGTTTTAATAAAAGAGTCTTATCGCTATCCTTCTCGTGAGGTGACCATTAGTAAAAATTGCGTGACTCGTACCGGTGAAGAGTTGAAACGATTTTCATCATGGAGAATTATTTATTATCGATTCTTGTAAGATTTGCGACGTCTAGTTCGATGTCCTGTTGAAAATTAGAAATTTTCATTGTAGGATTGGTAATTAATCCCAGGTTTTCCTGGCAATTCCTGAAAGCAATGATTTCGGAGTAACGTCAACAACGAACGCCATACGCCTCTTTAAATCCGGATTAATTTAAATAATACATTTAGAAAAGAAAAAAATACATATTTTCTTCATTGAAAATGAGCTATCATTATTACTATTCATATTATTATCTTAATACTAAAAAATCTTAATAGTAGATTGTATATGGATATAATTATTGTATATAAATTTTTATTTTTCAAGTAATTTCAAATTGCAATTAAATTTTATTGACTTTTTTGATAAAAATGATTACGAACGAATATATTTTATTAATTAATATAATTTGTCTTTTTTGAAAAATTATTTCTAGGTACTGGGGATATTAATTAATTTTTAGTTTCTTTTAAGAAACTATTTGCAGATGTTGGACAGCCCGCCATTTTAGAGAACATTAATTTATATATATCTATATATGTATGTATAAAATACATGCACAAATTAACATATCCAAAAAATTTTTATAATTTTTCTAAATATTACATATGTTACGTACGAAATTATATATATGAATGTAGCATAAAATGTGCGAGTAGTTAAAAATTATGAGACAAATCGAATGGATATCTTGATAACAGTAAGATATCGGCAAATTAATTTAAATGTTACTAAAAATAATAAAAAAGTAGTACATAGACTTAACTATTTGAAATTATTTGATTTATTTTATCATACAAATTATTCGAATTGAAATTTTTTAAATCTTGCTGTTATGGGGTTTGATTCGTCTCGCGCGCGCAAACAGTTGGTACCCCAAAATTATTTTACGTATTCGCACATTTAACACAAGTTCCAATGATGCATGTATTTCATTATTTATAAATATAATCGTTCGTAATCATTACATAAAAATTCTTATATCCATTTAGTTTTCAATAAAGAGATATATTTTTTAATAATGATAGAACATATTTTCTGACGTAAATTTTAATCGTGAATTAAATGACAATGAGGGTAATTGTCGTTGATTTATTACTGAAATCATTGTTATCGGGAGTAGTCTGGAAGATCCCCAGGATTCGTTCTCTCCTACAGTGGGATCCCTGACGTTCAATGGGTCATTTAACTTTTCTTCGCAGATCATTCTTGCGAAATCTGATATAAAAACAAGATGTTAATTATTCTCCATCTTTAAGATCGTTCTCCTTTTTGTCGAATATTAACCGGATATTAATTATTATATTAAAAAAATTATATATTATCATATCGAAATTAAATATTCGAAATATTATCGATTTATTTATTCATCGCGTTTTTTCGAATTTTAAATAGCAATTTATCTTATAATTTAATCGTCGGTTTATATCGAAGTTCTTCTATTTATTCGCGTTTTTGAATATTTTCTTTAATAGTCTTTAATTATGCGCGAAATGTATTTTAGTCTTGTGCATAGTAATTACAATTATAGTAATTATCTCGCGCGCGTGTCTATTGAGGGTATTCTTCAGTTATTATAAATCATTATAAAAAATTATTAGTATTGCAATCGAATATTCCGAATATCATTAATTTATTTATTCGTCGCGTTTTCTTGCGAATTTTAAGTCGCAATTTATAATTTTATAATTTAATCGTTAACTTACATCGAAACTTTGGCGATAACACGGTTTTTTAATTTTTTTTAAAACTCATGATCCCCATTTTATATTATTTAGCTATCATGTACGAGATACAATATATATGTTATTCTCAATCGCGACATTCGTATAAAATCGCGTGTTAATCACGAATAAATCGGATCTTGAATTTTATATTTGCAAACATTACATATTACATATATCGCGCGCGTGTCTATGCTTCGATATTATAAAAATTATACATACCGTAATTGAATGTCCCGAATATCATCGATTTATTTATTTATCGCGTTTTCTCGCGAATTTTAAGTAGTGATTTATCTTATAATTTAATCATTAATTTACATCGAAGCTTTGTCTATCTCTTTTCGCGTTTTAAAAATTCTTTAAATAGTCTTTAATAGTACAAAATTGCACAAATAGTATAAATTGTACAAAATACGTTTGTTGTGCAACTATTTTTTCCTACAATTTAAAAGACGATTGATAATTTATTAATGACTCTTTGAATCGCGAATGTTTACATTATATAAATCTTATAAAACTCTCTTATAAAACTCTCTTGCATCAATTATTAATAATAAATATCATATAATTAATAATCGCTAATTAGTCTTGTCTAAATTATATGAAAATTTTTAATAAATTCTTATTTTACGGATATTTTCGATATTTTCGTGTAATCTCATGTAACGAACTATTTTAGTTTCAAATTATATATTTTATATTAACTTTTGTATCATTGTACGTATGCACACATATTTGTAACATTGTAATAAATTTTGTAAATTTTGTATACATTTGTAATATTTGTAAACAAAATTTGTAATAAATTTTGTAATAAAATTTGTAATAAACTTTGTAATAAATTAAAAAAATAAAATAAAAAAAATTCCTCCTCAAGTATCTCCACCTTACCGAAGGCTTTTGCCGGGTGAGGAGGTTTGTGCACTCTAATGATCCTGAGAGCTATGTCGGCGGTAATGTATTTAGATAGTAAAAATAATCATTTTTATATCATTTTGCCAGTCAAATCGCGTCAAAATGAGATCAAAATGACTATTTTTGCTATCTAAATAGTTACTGGTAAGGTCGCCTATGCCGGACAGGTCGAAGGGGAAGAGTGAGACTAAGAGAGATACTGTAGTTATTTAGTAATATTAGTTATTTATTTATACTGTAGTTATTTAGTAATATTTTTAATAAAAGCTATATATATATATATATATATATATATATATATATATATATATTAATGACGAAAAGTAAAATCCGTGCTTAAGGACTGAAACATTTTTTTATAGACACAACAAAATTTTCATACGATATTTGTAAAAGAATTATATGAAAAAATTAACAAAATAATTAATAAATATATTTTACTTAATTTTTTTATTATGTAAATTCTTTGTTGTGTATGAAAAAAGAACAGAATTTTTTGCAAATAAATTTTTGCAAATATATGTCTTTACTATTTATTTTATTACTAAGAGTATATATAATTAATATGTTTATTAAAATTGCATGTTATCTAAGATATAAAACATGCAAATATGTAACTGTATGTTCTTTCATATTATAAAGGGTTTTAATTATTAACAACGTTAAATAATTTTTTCATTATTTTTATAGTTGCCTAGTTGAAAGTATATCATCACGTTTTCAATGTATGATTAATAATTAATTATCTTTCATAAAAAAAATATATTTTTTGTAACTACGTATAACGCGATAGATTTCGAAACGCATATTTCGCGTAATTTATTTATTTAATCAAGTAAGACTCGTAATGACAAATTCAAAATAACCATAGAGAATGATGACAGACAGAGATCCTCTCATTCTCTAATGACAGAAAAGAATGAGCGACATCACGATTCGCTTTTGGGTTATCCCTGAAAGCGATGCGCCCTCTATGTTCTTCTTTTGTATAGGAATATTACATCGCTTCGGTTGCCTTTCTGGCGATCATTATTACGCATCTTCAAGTAATACCCGATGTGGGGCACTGCTTTGCAAATAACCTCGCAGTATTGTACTTTTCATACGGTGTTTTTGAGTAATTTGGAAATTGAATTCAAATAATTCTTTGGAGAATTCATAGAATTCTACGTTATTATGAGGATCTTTAATTACTTTAAGAAAAATATTACATAAAAAACGTATATAAAAGTATTCCTCTGTGTGAGCAAGACGGTATCAGTATCTATGCTTGTAGAAGAAAGGAGAGAATATACTTTATTTATTGACTATAAGTTGGGCATGGTAATTGCCGTGGCGTGATAATATTTATTAACATTCGTATTCACGACCGTTTGTCTTGCCAACAACGATAAGACCCAACTTAACCTACAAGATTTAGCTTGAGGTGAAACTAGGTTTCCTCGAGCATTACCTCGTGTATGTTACAATAGGTCTTATGTTGATGTAACATAAATAAGCGACGAATGCAATGGAAACTCACGAGAACGAACAGTATGTGACGTTTCCTCTCGACGGTGTGCATGATGCTATACAAGAGAATATGATATCTCACGAGGAAATTTGCGAACCCGTCGAATGCGTCGACGAATGTGTTCTTCAAGAGGATCTTACAGAAGTTTCAGTCAATAATGCTAACAATATCGATATTGCTGAGTCACAAGATGCCGTTGAAATTCTCACTGAGCAGTCGGATGAGGAAGATGACAATCAGGTAGTATATCCGATGTATATCAAGCAAGAGGAGCAGCAGCAGTATACGTCAGGTGATGACGAGTCCATGGCTGTGGAAGCTTTGCGACAACTAGGCGGTATGTATCCATGTTACGAAAACAAGAAAATCAATTGTCCAATCTGTAAGTGTCTCTTCACTCAAGAAGAGATGGTTAAACATCGGTCAGTATGTACAGCATCTAAGCTATCCTGCACTACTTGCGGAGAGAGATTTGAAAGAAAAATTGATCTGAATAATCATATGGTATGTCATCAGGTAGATCGTCCTCATGCCTGTAGGACATGTGGAAATTTGTTTCGTTCGAAGAGCAGTTTGCAAACACACATGCAGCAGGTGCATCAGGTCGAACGTCCACACAAATGCACCATTTGTGGTTCAGACTTTCAGAGGCCCTCTAGTTTATCTAACCACATGAAGATACATACATATGTCGCAGGACGAGCGATCATGCAGTCACAAGGGAACAACATAGCTCAATCAGTGGAAACGTTTAGAAAATGGGAGAATGCATCTGATGCGCAAAATACATCTCAGATGCCATCTTCTTCGTCTGTTCAATCTATACAAAATTATGATGTATGTCAAGTTCAATGGCCATCGTACAATTTTCATAATGAACAATCAACAGTTACTACAATATCGAATCATCAGGAGAAGATGGATACGCTGCAGGAATTCACAGTAATGCCTAATGGTGAAGTGACACAATTCAGTGATTACGCTGAGCAAAATAACATTAGTAATCCAATCAACAACAGTCAACAATACGATATATCGATAAATTCATTCAATACTCCCGATGGAATAGTCAAAGTCGAGACGCTTTCGTATAACGCCAACAGAAAAAATTATGGAAAAGTCGAAGCAAATAGTAAACAGTACACGTGCAAGCATTGTGGAATCAATTTTTCACGCGCGACTGCTTTGGCGTCTCATGAGAAGATTCACACTTCTAAAAATTGGAACATGCCGATCGAGTGCGAGTACTGTGACAAGCAGTTTCAAGACGGAAATCATTTAGCGACTCATCAGACCACTTGCGCTAAGAAGATAATGCAGAACAACATAGAACAAGGCGTGCCCAACAGCAAATGGGGCAAGCACGCTTGTTCCGAATGCGGAAAGAAGTTCACGACCAAGCAAAAGATGTTTCGTCATCAGTGGATCCACCGAAAGAAGACACACTCGTGCGAAGTATGCGGTTCGCAATTTGAGAAGCAAAACGAGCTGGATGAGCATAGACTGTCGGCGCATCCTGGGGATTCGCCGTTCACTTGCGGTGAATGCGGAAAGAGTTTCGTCTCGCGACAAGGACTCTGGGAACACGGTAGAACGCACGCCGGAAGTCCGGCGCATTTTCAATGCGATACCTGCTCGAAAACCTTTTCGTCTCGCCAAGGATATTTAATACACAATCGTACACACACCGGTGAACGACCGTATGGCTGCAAGTTTTGCTGGAAAGCCTTTCGAGATGGCGGAACCTTGAGAAAACACGAACGGATCCACACCGGAGAGAGACCGCACGTGTGTCCGCTATGCTCGAGGGCTTTTAATCAGAAAGTGGTGTTACGCGAACATGTCCGATGGGTCCATGCCGCGGGAAAGAATGAAACGGAAGCGAGTAATCCACCGTATCCATGTCCACTGTGCGGTGCTTTGAATCAAGATCGCGATGAACTCTGCGCGCACATCGTTAAGCATTCGGATCAGATGATAGCTGAAGCAAAGGCAAAGACTAACAACGACGCTTCTCCAAAATCGAAGTCTTCAACGAAGAAGAAATCGTCGAAATCAGCGTCGTCGTGTAACTCGCGGGCAAAGCAAAATGCTGCCTTGGATTTCATCTCGAAGACGGAGCAAAATGAAGCCTTATTATCTATCACCGATACATCTAATAAATCAGACGACTTGCATGTTATAAATGAGAAGCAGAATAATGCCTTCGTTGTGGTCACCGCGGAAAAACGTGGCGACGGTTTCATAGCGATATCCGAATTTAAGCACAGCAATATACGATTCATCGTGGAAGGCAAGGAAGATGAGAACATTCACGTACTTCAAGTAGATCAGAATCACCGGGATCATCTCGATATGATTGCTATGGATAAGCAAAACGATGCAGCGCACATTGTATCGACAGAATCCGTAGATAATGCGCTCGATGAAACCATTAGACAAAACAATATATCTACGATGCACTTGATTCAGTCTTCTAAACAGAATAATACTTTAAATATAATATCAAAGCAGAACGAATCGTTACCTGTTCTAGCAATACCTAATCCTCAGAATCATGAAAATTACTCCAGTCAAATCATACAAGTGAGCAATACAGATATACCTATGGATGTAATAACTCAGCAAACCTTAAAGGAGGAAAAAGATCAAGATGAACATGATACTTTAATAGGAACATCTCAAGAAGGGACCTCTCATGTTATTCAAGTTGTAGAATATCAACATGACAGCGATGATGGAGACGATTTTACGTGTGAGATCTGTGAAGATACTTTTGCTGACAAAAATATGTTGAAGGAGCACATTAAGGTTCACATATAATTAATAGAACTATCATAAAATTCACATATAAGTAATAGAAACACTTTGTTGTTCATTGCATTGCTTGTGATATTTCACACGCTATTAATGCAACTCTGTAGAAAGTACATACAATTGTACATATGATAAATCCATTACCATTAACAAAATCATATCACACAGAATTTATTTATAGCGCTGTTTATATGTAACATTTTAAAGAAGACTAATTTTTGTTAAAAGAGATAATAATATTATGCACATTTGTTACAAAGTTGATGTGCATAAAGTTAATTTACAAAAAATATTTTGTTTAATTATATAAGATATGCATATTTAATTTCATTAGATAATACTATGAAAAATATCGTATTTTTAAATTTATATACATTTATAATTTCAAATTTAATTATCTTTTTTTATAAAATAGTATGAGAAACATTTAATAGCTTATTATGGTACAGCTAAATATTTATAAAATTAATACAATTTTCTCAGACATAATATTACATTATAATTTGATATGGAATTGTGTAATTTTTTTATTTTTATCAAGTAAGAAATTATCATAAGAATATTTAGATAGTTTCAAATAAATGTGTATTGTAAATCTATACAAAAACACATTCTGTTAGAAAAAACACATTTCTATTATAAAAATTATCTTTTTTTTTTGTTTCAAAATACATTTTTTATCAAGGAATTAGAGCTATAGTAAATTAATTTACAAATTCTAATTACATTTATCTTTGTCTTTAAATTGAAATATATCTTGAAGGAAATTTTTCTGTAGAATAAAAATATGAATTATTTTTACTTTTAAAGCTTCTAAAGCTAGTTTTTCTTCTAATTACTATTTAAAAAAACACTATTATAATAATTATTATTTGAATGATTGCCTTTTATCTCTATATTAATTTCCACATGTTTTGTGAGGCAATGAATTTTTAATGATTAATATAGATTAGCACAAAATATGTATGACCTTTCTTCTTCCAGGACATTAAACATGACAAATTGCTTTCATGCATTTAGGTATTATATATGTGATAAGATAATTCTAAAGAATGGATTATGTATGTAAAATCAAGTAGATATATTCATCTATACCATTAAAAGAAAAAGCACATCCTGAAAAAATAAATAAGATCTATAATCTGACATATATTACAATTTTACATATATACATTTTCTGTTTGTCAACTTATGTTACCAACAAAGAGTCATATCCAAATAGAATAATATTGAAACTGTAAGGAGAGAGTGTGCAATATAAAAATAAAGTGTATTTTATTTTGTAAAATTTATTCTTTATTTATTATATATGTACTCGTTATTTATTCATACATATTTCATCATTATATCTTATCACTGTTGTGTATCATTATATATATCATATAATTTCATTAAAATTGATAATTCAGGAACAACAACAAAGTATAAAATAAGAATATTATAACAAAATTGAAAAAAATATATGAAAGTAAAACAAACATTTAAAAAAATAAACAATTTTATATAAAATAATTTCAAATATGTGTATATATGTGATGCAAGTAATTTGTTTAGTTATATTTTGATTTCCATTTGATCGTTTTTAGAGTATTTTTTATCCTTGTTCACTGAAATTTAAAGATAGATGATCGTAAGCGTTACGTCAAGTGGAACATAAAGGTGCAATTTCATTGACGCTACTTTTTAACGTTAATGAAAAGGCCGCTTAAATGAAGATTTTGTAACATGCAGAAATTGACCAATGACAGATGTGACGCAAAGTATGTACGCCATGTTGCTGCATTTTTCGTGTTAAACGATTAATCGATTCTTTTGTGCGCGTATCAATCTCTGATTATTTAAATCAGATTATTTAAATCCATTTAAAATCATTATTAGAACGAAAAGGAGAGGAGAGGAAAAAAGTGTAAAGAATACGGCTGAAACAAACAGATATATATTTCGAGAAAAATATAGTCATACGTCATACGTCAAACAGAATCGCGCTCGCAATCACGTGTTCTCGATAATAAATAACAAAGTGTAAAAGCGCGCAGTTTTCACGAACAGTTGTCAGATTAGATCGCGTTATTTAAATTTGAAATTTCCAAGCGTGTGCTTCTCGTATCTTGCTGTAATATCGGAGGATATTTTGAGGAAAGAACGAGTCGTCGTGTATCATTGTTTGATCATCGAAATTGTCATCGAATTTCTCAAGGTAAGATAAATCGAAATAAGCGCCACTGCGATGTTTATTTACAAAATAAACGAGAACAAAAATGCACTTGTCATTCCCTGTCATTAATTGTTCTATAATAATATCCGCATGTCAATCAACGACTATATTTTAATTATTGAAATTATTAATATGCCGGAAGACCTTAACCTCCATTTGAACTCTGTTTTGCCGCTTACGCGACCTCGCCGAAAAATGTATTTACGCTAAAATACGTTTACATTATCGCGCAATTTAACAAGAAGCTCATTCTTTATCTCTGGTGTCGCTTATCAACATCAGTGATCAATCATTCTGCGCGAATTACACGCTGCAAAGTTGATTTCCTAGGGAGATTTAACCTGTAAACACGCGTGGTCTCTTTGAGGTTATATTTGTTTACGTGAATATTTCACGGATTGAGTAGAATATTCCGCTCCAAAGTGGATTAAACGGAATCTCAAGGTTTCCGTAGATGACAATCACAATAAGCACTGCAGAAAGGAACATTGTAAGCAATATGCCTACGTGGAATCAGATTCAGGCTCAGCTGCGAAATCCCAACAATCCGGTTGTCTTTTTCGACGTGTCCGTAGGCACCACAGAAATAGGTCGTATGATCTTCGAGTTATTCGAGGATGTGTGCCCGAAGACGTCAGAGAATTTTCGACAATTCTGCACCGGTGAATACAGGAAGGATGGGGTTCCGCTGGGTTTCAAAGGTGCCATCTTCCACAGAGTGATCAAGGATTTCATGATACAAGGCGGCGACTTCGTCAACGGCGATGGTACCGGGGTGTTGAGTATCTATAGCGGTGGAACGTTCCCAGATGAGAACTTCACCCTGAAGCATGACTCTCCTGGTCTATTGTCTATGGCTAATAGCGGCAAGGATACCAATGGCTGTCAGTTTTTTATTACATGCGCCAAGTGTAATTTTTTGGATGGCAAGCACGTAGTCTTTGGCAGAGTGATCGATGGTCTGCTTGTTATGAGAAAAGTGGAGAATGTTCCTACTGGACCGAATAATAAGCCAAAAATTCCAGTTACGATATCTCAATGTGGACAGATGTAGTAGTAAATGTGTTATTTATTTATATCTGTATAAACTCACATTATTGATGTAATTGTATGTGTCTGTCCACTAAAAAAAATTATAAAAATAAAATTTTTATTTTATATAAAACTGCTGCTGCGCATTTGAAATTGTATATAAAAATGTAAGTTTTTTTCATGCTTGATTCAATAATTTTATATACATTACTTTTGTAATTCATCTTATTATATACAATTTTGAATTTTTGTTATAATATACTATGATATATTCAATATATATAAGCATACAACATTTATATAATGATTTATATGCATAAAATGCTAATTGGAATTTTATTTTAATTTTCTTTTTTTTACTTCTACTTATTTTTAAGATATAAAAACGTATATAATAATGTAGAGTAATAAGAGGCTTTTTCAATTATCTTATTATGCATTAATTATGCATTTTCTTGTCATTATATTACTTTCATAAAGAATGAAATATTTAAGGAGGAAAACATGCTCAATGGAATTAAATAAAAAATCATATTAAACAACATTTTATTTTTATCACATTTAATAAATTATTATTTTATTATGTCTAAAAGATATACATTTGTAAATATACTACATAATCTAGTAGCTTAACATTTGCATATTTGATTATTAATAAGGGGAGTTTTATCAATAATAATTTTTTACAAAATTTATATGTCTGTTAATTAAATTTATAAATGGGTTTAATTTATAAATGGTTAAATTTATAAATGGGAATAAAAGAAAACTCAATTATCTTACGAAATTTTATTATTAACATCTGTACATATGAAATAAATATTTTATAATCACTCTATGTATCATATTTGCAAACAATGTAATACTTCAATTTTGTTTTTATGAATTGAGATTGATTTTTACGAATCAAAATACGATCAAAAATCGTCGAAGTTATCCATATACATACATTTATTTATCATATTTGTACCGATTCGATGAGACTCAAACTGTAAATTTATTAATCTACAAATATTATAAATCTCTTAATTTGTGAATATTGTTTTTTTCACTGATCTTTTTTTTTATAAATTTTTTTCTTTATATCGTAAGGATTATGTACAATTATTTTAAATTAAAATCTATTTCAACATCGATCGATGTGATGTTGGTCATATAACTGTTCAATCAATTATGAATAAGAATGTATGAATATGTTGATTATATCCATGATATCCGAAAAATTCTAATATAGTTTTACTACACTTTATAATGTTTTTCAAAGTTGTAATATATATTTTTCATCAGTGTTTTATAATTTTGAAATTTTCATAGAATATTAAATATCACAATGTTTGTCATAATCTTTTATCTTAAATCAATTATGATACAATATTAAATAATATTTGTTTATTAATTGATTAGTTCTTCTTTCATTGAGATCAAAATTAAGAATTTACGTCAGAAATTTAAAATTAAGTACCTTTTGCATGTAAAATAATTGATGTATCAGCGTTATAACGCATCTTCCTTGTACTATAGAATCAACGAGAGAAAATGCAATTTTGATACACTCAGTATATATGTATATCGAGACCAGTATAGTAGTCCACTGTCAATTCACGCGTAAATTCATTGAGATCGATACACTTTTATTACTCACCAGCGTTTTATATAAAATTATTGGAGTCCGTACATACATCGGCAGTCATTATCACATGTTACATATGTACAATGATTCATCTCACTATTGCTTCTATACAGACATATATATATAATATATCAAAATAAATCACGACTATACGTTAACTATACGCGTAGTCGCCTCTAAAGTCTATTTTAAATCGTTCATAACTCGAGACAAAATTTACATGTACTACATAATTTTATAATTTTTTACATTTTCATATATATATAATTACAATTATTTATATAATTAATTATATTTTCAATATAATATATTCTGTCTTATAATTTCACTAATGAAATCTTTATCTTTAATCTATATTTTTTAAAGCTTTCAATATAAAAAAAGAGAAATTTTATATTAATCGAATATTTTTTTTATTTATAATTATATGTATAATTACATATATATATATGCGTGTGTATTTCTATAATTAATTTTTTAAATCGAATTCTGTCACGAATTACGAATTGTTTAAAATATGCTCAAGAATGTTTTATTTTAAAACTTGATTCAACACGCGTTATTGATACATTTTGTGAAGAATCGTGCTCAAGAGAACATACGATCGATCATCGATCCACAATGTTCTCGCATGGCAACGAACTTTTGATTAAAGACAAACTGACTTGGCTAAACACTTACGTGAAGCCATTGCTAATAATCAGTCCTTGTCGATCGACAAACACGACTTCGGGAATCAGTAAATTGATGACGTCATAGTTTCGCATCACACGGCCGTATAACGAGGGCCCTTCTTATTATTATCATCTACGTCGTCCCGAGTCGGCGCCGGGGACCGTCATCGACATCGTCACGACCTGAAATCAATATGCGACTAATTATTATTATCATGAAACTTTTTTTATCATATTAAAAAAAGATGAAAAAAAAATTATAATTTACACTAAATTTAAAATGACAAATATAAAGAGAGAGAAAATGAAATCTTTAATATCATGATATATTGATGAATGCTAAATGTTCGCTAAGAAGCATAGCACTACCTGCTATTGCAGAAACGATCATCGTCGATGGCATCGACCTGCGAATTGTCATCGACGACCATGATAGGCGTCGCGCCATCGTGTAGGCTAGATTTGGAGATGGATCTCTTGTAGGCATCCCTGGTAACGCTCCTGGTAAAACTGAACTTTCGAACGAGTTTCTTGTCGAGGGCAGCCGGGCTCTTTGGACCCTTCGCTCTGTACTCATCTTCCGTGCCCTCGTAGTGCGCCAACATTACTTCCGTGGCATGCTCCTCGATCACGTTGAGCGCATAATCAATATCTTCTTCGGTCGCGTCCTCCTTCGTGATGCAGAAACGCAGGATATATTTGCCCATCACTCGGGCTGGTATCATGTGCAGCCGACCGGATGCATTAATGTTGGCCAGCAGCTCTTGATTCATTTCTTCGCTCTCCTTTAACCGGAAACACACCAGACCGACTCGCACATCGTTGAGGATTTCGAAGCGCCTGTCTTTCTTCATCTGCGCCTCGAATCTCTTGGCCAGCCTTATGTGATTCCTGATGTACTTCTGCAAACCGCTGATACCGTACGATCTCATGACGAACCAGAGCTTCAACGCCCGAAATCTTCTACTGAGCGGGATGCCCCAATGACGATAATCGATCGATTCTCCCGAGCGAGCGTGTTGAAGATAAAGCGGATCGACGACCAACGCCGACGTGAGCTTCATTCGATTACGCACCCACAGGCAAGAACAATCAAAATTCACCAGCAACCACTTGTTCGGATTCGTATTGAAGGAATCGGCGTGCTCGATGCCGGCCATGAATGGTCTCATTTCCGGACAGATGAAGGCGTTACCAGCGTAAGCGCCGTCTACGTGCAACCAGATGTTGGGATACAGCTTGCATACAGGTCCGATCTCTACAAGATTGTCAAAGGCGCAGGAGCCGGTGGTGCCCAGAGTGGTGGACACGTAAAACGGTACCAAGCCGTTCGCCACGTCCTCTCTGATGGCCGACTCGAGTCGTTTACCGCGTAAAGAAGCTTTGTCGTCCGGTTCCAGTACTCGCAGCTTCACCAGGCTGATCATCGCTGCTTTCTCAACGCACGAGTGCGACTCCGTAGAACAATAGGCCACCAATTTCGGCAGGAACGCCGAATCCTCCGTGTTGGGTTCCTGCTCCTTCAGCATCTTAATTGCTTGTGAGCGCGCCGCCAGCATCGTCACCAGGATACATTCGGAGGCCGAACCCTGAATTACGCCGCCGCCGCTCTTCTGCTCCGACAGAAACTCAGCTGGCAGGTCGATTGCTTTAGCGTACCAATCCAGCACGATAGTTTCAAGTTCAGTACAGGCTGGACTAGCCGCCCACGAGAAACCGATGCAGCCGATCGCGTCTGACAGCAGATCACCGAGGATCGAGGGGAACGAGTTGCCGGACGGGAAGTAGGCGTGGAATCGTGGATGCTGCCAGTGAGTGATCTGTAAAATGCATTGTTTTCACGTACCAGCATAAGTCGGGGTAACCTACTTTTATGTTTTGAAATTGATTTATCCGTGGAAAGAATGGGGCGATGGACGGCGGAAATGCCGGTAGACAGCAGCAACTTCATTGTCACCGCGATAAAACGTATATGTTATATTGGATTAAGAACGGACTTTGCGAACGTTTGTGAAAAAAGTCGCGATGCATCATTTCTCGAAGCCGTTGTCTTCTTCGAAAATAAAGATCGGAACGTTGTGACGTTGCTATTGTCCTTCAGTTTTTCAATCAGTTGATTACTCGACTGGCTGTATATATGCCATTGTCGTTGAAATTACTTTTACTTTTAAAAACCTTTTTTCTATTACATTCGACAACTTCAATTTAGAAGAGTGTCTTACGTTTTGTATTCTTCTTAAATATCATTAATTCCGATATCGAGAGTATACGATTTTTATTAAAAAAATTTTTCGAATGAAAATATTACATGTGCCGCAAATTTTTTGAGGGGATATTCTACATAATATCATATCAATTTGTATGTGAAAATTGATGAAAACTATCATATTTTTTCTTGTAGTTTACATAATATGCGTTGCATCATATATATACAGCTATCACGGTACTCGACCTTAACTTTTGCTCAAGTTCTTTAAAGGGCATACCTATGAAACAAACTTTCTGTGTTGCAAAATGCGTCGCGATTTATCTATCGCGTCATTAGTTTTCTAAACTGCCGATAGTGAAAATAGCAGACAATAAATACTTATCTACCTCCTTTTTCTTCTCTCTTTCACGTGCACGAATATTATTTATATCGGCAGGGAGGGGAAGGGAGGGAAGGGTTGAAATCAATGGCGAGAGAGAGAAAGAGAGAGAGACAGACCGAGAGAGAGAAGGGGGATCGATAATCGTCAGCTACAATCGCCGGCAGGTAACTCACTCCGGGCATTATTTTGCCGTCGACGTCCCTCATGATGGCGTCCCATGATTCCGGCTTGAAAGGCGCCTCGTTTGGCATCAGATGTCTTAAATAGCCGGGATCGACGTTCGCCGTCACCCTCTTGCCCTCCAACGTGCGGATATATTCGCAGATGTACTCTATCATCTCTTTACCGCGTACACGAAATTCATCGATGTTCATGATGCCAGAATAAAACCCCCCTCGGCTGAAAAGTAGCGATTTTTGTGAGGCAATGCGTGCCAGAGGAGAGCAGAGCAAACGCCCGCCTGATTAGACATGCTTAATTATACATCGCGCGTGTTCGTGACTTTTTTTTTAACGGTTCTATCAACGCGCCGATGCGCCTGTTATCCTTCTATATTTGCTTTAGAAAAAGATTAATTCTTCCATGCTCTTGCGAGGATTCTTCGCGGCGTATTAATTCTTTCGAGCAAAAGGAAATATGCTATCGGCGAATACATCTAATAATAATCCGCGAAAGTTTTATGAACGTAATGTCGTGGAATGCTCGTGCATTGAATTAATTACACACGAGATATCGCGTCATAAATATTACAGAAGCAAAAACAAAAGCCGTATAAATTCTGTAAATTTTATATATTTTGTGATATTTGGCAAATATCTCTACTCCAGATATATATTCTGTGATCACAAAGTGTAAAGCGAGTTTATTTGTTTTTCTATAGCTGTTATTCGCATTTTTGTTTTCCAAAATAAATCAAACTAATTTAATTTTTCTATAATATAAACAAATGTGGATTTTGAAAAGCAATTTTTCAAGAGTCGAGACAGAGAACGAAACTGTTGAACAATGTACCTCGCCGTTACTTTTATGTTTTCTTTCTATCACCGCTTGAAAAATGGCTCTATTTAAGTGAAAAAAGTCGATTCTTCATGCTAAATCTTTTTACATAAGCAAATACAGATTTTTTTTGAAAAAGTCGCATCGTTTTTTTTTTAAAGAGTCGGGGCAACAAATGGTGAAAATGTTGAAGAGTCTTAACGTACAATTCGTTGATTTCACTCACGTTTTGTTTCCGCTACCGTTCGAGAAATCGCTCCACTTTGGCGGAAAATTGACCCCCTCAGTCGCGCGAATTTTTCGTTCTCGTAACTCGAGTGTCGCGCGATTTTTCCTTGCACGTGTCGAACATTTGTCGCGAACCACGTCAGACGAGAGACTAGTAGCACCTGTCGAAGCGCCGGTCAGTTTTATGCGCGTCTCGGCTCCATACGTCCCTGCTATCACGCAGATAAAATTAAGGTGAGGAGAGAGGAAGAAGAGATTCTAGGAGAAAACGTAATGAAATTATTTATTTTTCTAATATATGAAGATCAAATTAAAAAGTGACAATTATCCGACCGGATACTTTTCTATGACGATGCATTTTAATTAAATCATCAGTGATTATTTTTTACCAATGACCTCGCAATTAAATCCAATTTAATCCATATAAATTGTTAATTCTAGAGCATTAATGTATAAAATGTTGCATGCACATATTGAATACATTTCAACATGTGATCTAAGGATGGAGATTGAAAAAAATAAATAATAACAATTAGCAAATTAAAATTTTTATATTGCATTACTATTAATTAATACAATAAAGAAAAAGATTATTTTTTTAATGGAGCAAATATATATATATATATATATATATATATATATATATTTTGAACAAATCAAAATTAATTTGCTAGATATATTGAAAATGAAATTGTATAAATACAAAATTAAATTAGTTGTCTAATACAATTATATAAATTGGATAATGAATTAATATTACGAGTTGCCTTCTTAAGCGTTTGGCGGAACATTTAATCTTTTAATACATAATATAATATATTGTCATGTAATTATACAAACTATAATACTTTTTCAATGAAATTTTTCTACAAATCTTTCCAAACGTATAGTGTTATATATGATAGAAATTAATAGCCGTTTTTTATTTATATTTTCGTTACTAATGACTTACGACTTGTTATAAGAATGATCAACGTACCGTTTTCATCATACCTTGTATAAAATTGAATGATCAACGTGAAGCAGATAAAATTCGCGAAAGCCAATAATTGAAACTAATTTCCTTTTTGCACATGTAATTCTTTTAATAATGAAACGAATATATTTTCATTAACTGTTATTGAAATTCAAATGATTTAGCAGTAATCGTTTTCATATGCTATGTATATCTTATGTAGAATCGATTCTTTTCCCTAACGTAATATTTCTTCGATCGAGGTGAAGATAGAACGGGCAGATAGAACGCGAAAATTCGCGAAAGCGATGTAACAAGTCCAGCATCAATGGCTGTGGCGTTGCTATATAGTAGGGTCGCCGTTTGAATAAACGCCCCATACACAATATATCGTGTTGCGCGCATAGGGGGTAAGTTTTCCCCCACCTGCTCCCTTCGTCTCTCCACTGTTTTATTAATAGACATTTACTCTTCACCTACATTTACAACACACCCTGTGGAAGCGGTGACAGGTCACCGGTCAATCTTCGTAATACACACACACATACACTGATCACTGCTCGTTTTCTCATCGCCACCTTCACGCATGATCTACTCGCATCCGCCGTTTTTCGAATTGGATCCCCCCCATTGGATCCCGGTAGAGCTTCGATGCTCGTGAACGCGTGAGAAATAATTAAACCAAGTTTGTGTTGGTCAGTCTTTTTGCGCATGTATTATAAAATCGCCATTATTGGCGATTTTGACGAAATTAGTGAACCTGAAATCGCCGATATACGCGGACAGATTTACCTACTAAATGTCCACGTTTTGCATACGATTTCTTTAATTGGTTTAAAATCGATATTCTTCTAACAAAATAACACATCCATCATTTCAAAGGTTTTCAATTAATAAGTGATCTTTAATTATAAGAATTTTTCTGTGTCTTTTCAGTTAATGGAAATGTAAAAAATATCTCATTTTTACATTATCGCGATAAAATTTCTTGTCAAGGTGAAATTATTAAATTTTGTCTTGTATTTTTTATTTCTTTTTAACATTTTTAGCTAATTGATTATATGTGTACAGTAAATTTTTTGATATTTATATACATGTTGTATTGAATAATATATATCACGTTTATTTTTGTTCAAATCTATCCAATTTAAAATCATGTTACGTTATATACTTTTAACTTTTTTCTGAAGATTTTGTACACATTTAAGAATCTTATCATAAGACATTCAAAAAATTTAACTTTTTCCAAAATATATAAAGACACAAGAAATGATAAATGTTTTGAGTGTCTGTGAAGCTGGCACAATCTACGAATTTCAAAAAACTAAGTAGAGTTGTATTTGTACTCTTGTATTTTTTTGAAATTCATAGATTGTCGTGCCAGCTTCACAGATACATAAAGTTTTAAGTGTTTCTTGAAATTTATATCATGTGGGAAATTTAAGAAAAGAGTAATACAATTGAGACTGAAACGTATTTAATTTTTTATCGAGTCAAACACACAGCGATTTCGGCGACATCTCATTAGTTGTATCTCTCGATGAGCAATTTCACACAGAATTTGCTCTGTTGCCCATTTTTAATCCCTTCATTTATAATTTGTGATAGAATTTGAGACAACATTCTATGTATATAATTTAATACATCGCATATGGATAATATAAGCAAAATCAAAATCATGTAAGATTGAAATACATTGGTAATTTTTTATGGACAGATAATGTGCGCTAAAAGTTTACACAATAAACTGACATATTTGATAATTGTAATTTTAATTATTCAATTTGTGTGTGATAGCAATTGACGTCCCGAGGAGATATAATAAATAAATATTAAATAATATTTACATATTAAATAATATTATAATAATATTATATAATATATAATATAATATAATATAATATTATATTATATAATATTATATTATATAATATTATATTATAATTAATATTAAATAATTCTTACACACGGTTCGAAAGAAACGATCTATGGCGCTTATGTATAATTACAATCCGAGATTATATGTATAATTTTAAATTCAGATTTTTTTCTTATAATTATATTTACAATTCTATACATTAAATTATAGAAAGAATTATTTCCGTCCCAAATCGTGCGTAAGTTGTCTAAGGTGGGCTTTAATATCGAGATTGTCGGCAGTATCTCAGTTCCCGATGTAGTTAGCTAGCGGATTTCTTTTTCGTCTTTTTGGAGCGTGCAAGGAGTCATCCATCGCGATTGACATTTAAAAGAACTCCTCGCGAAAAAAGGAAGGATCGATATAATGCAAATTATGCTCGGCCATTGGGCGATCTACCGCGCGAGGGCGAAGCGGACGGAGACGGATCTGGACTGCATCCGTTACTGCTACCGCGACGACTTCCGGGACCGCCAGCCTTCAAGCGCACCATAGTATCCAAATGGCGAAATCTGTGCGCACAAAATCAAGAAAAATGTGATAAAATAAAGAAAGATATGATAAAGCAGATATATAAAACATTAGAAATATAATATATTTACAGCGGTAATCGATAAAATGCATTTCTCCTATAAAATTTTTAAATTGTCTTGTTGTTCCATTTGTATCGTTATCCCGTTGTCTCGTTTTTATCAAAATGATTTTCATGGAAATTAAAATAAGAAGCAAATAAATGTCACCATATTTGAAAAGAAAAGCCAGTTGAATGCAACAGTCTAAACATAGATAATGTCGCTTCGAACTTTGTATCATTCTGTAATCTTTTCAATGGTGTCAACTATAATGTCACTATAATAGCATTCGATATAATAGCGGCGATAAAGAGAAAGACACTATTTGTCCTTGCGTATAATAGTAGACGAGATATCGATATCAGGCGGTGAAGTATTACATTGCATTGCCGTTTATACAATAATGTAATGTTTTACAGCGTTACATTCGTGACAAGATTTTCTAAATGTAGCGAAAAAAATATAGCAAAAAAAATAGATTTTGATATTAATGTGCCTAATTATAAGATTTATATATAACAAGAAATAGAGAAACCTGAGTGATAATTCACTGGTATCAGCAGCTTCTTTTGCCTGCATAAGATAAGCAAGCGGCCAGGATATCCAAGATTTCCTAAGAGTCAATATTTCTTTTAATCATATATACATGATTCACAATTTTAGAAATCGCATAATAAAAAATTAATATAATCTTACGCTCCAGATTGAGTGTTTGATCCAATACCGCCGATTGTTGCCTGTGTGTCGAGTTTAGCTCCTGTCCTGTTCGGAGTCTTTGTGAATCCTGGCTGAATCGCGGGATCAGATACCATACGTACGAAGAAGGATCTCCTTTGTTCCAAGGTGGCCTTCCTTTTCCTCTCGCGAATGTCTGCTAATTCGTCCATTACGTCCTGATTTGCGGGTAAATATGGAGTGATAGAGATATGTAAAAATTTTCAAAAATATTAAAGTAATCAATTTCCAACTTACATTGAATTCCAATAATTCGGATAGATAGTCAGTTATAATGTTCCACGCCACGTCTTAAACATTAATTCAAGATAACGATAGTATGCATTTCTTCAAATAGAAAATATAACAAAATTCAGAAAATAATTATATAAATAATACATTCGTGTTATATATTTTTTAATCATTTTTACAAGACTGCCGACAAAATGAAAAGTTTTAAAAGAAAGTTATTTATTAATTTATTGAAAATGAAATTTAAAAATTAAATGTTTTAAGCAACGAGCCTAAGAAGATTTTAAAATTAAAGATGAGTATAAAAATAATTTACCAACATCTCTGGCAGTTGCATTAGGTGCAGCGAGTGCAAAACGTATCGTGTAACGTTGATTTACTCGTGCCGGGATCATATGTACTTTTCCCGAATCATTAATAGTGCTCAATAATTTTTGATTTAATTTATCGCTGCCTTTAGCGCGGAAACATACCAAGCCCAACTATAATAAACATAATATATAAATATGATGATGTGAATGATAAACGTATAATGAATACGTATATGATATTAAAAAAGATATTCTCTTACCACAACGTCATTGCAAACTTCGAATCTAGAATCTTTTCTAACGAGTGTTTCGAATCTTTTAGCAAGTTTTATATGATTTCGGATATACCTTTGTAGTCCAGATATTCCATAACTTCTCATTACGAACCACAATTTTAATGAGCGGAATCGTCTACTCAACGCTATACTCCAGTGTCTGTAACAGTATTTAAATATTAAAAATTTGTCAATAACTTTAAAAAATTTCCAATTATAAAAATATTTTTATTTGTCGCAATTACTTATAATAAATATTTTTTAGCATCCATATTATGGATCAATATTTGCTAAAAATATCGATTATATTTGAAGTAAAATAATAATAATCTAATTAAATATAATGACATTAGAATTGGTTGTGTTATTGATTAATTTTAATAACAAAATTTTAGAAAAAATCACAATAAAATATTTTTTTTTAAAAGATGATGATGGTAATATTTTAACACGTTTGCTAAATTAGTCAATTGTAATATAACCGATAGTCTATAGCCGTATCCGCGTGTGTGTGCTGGAGATACAGCGGATCCACAACGAGCGCGCTGGTAAGCTTAAATCTATCGCGAACCCAAAGACAAGAACAATCGAAATTTGTCAATAAGAATTTGTTGGTGTTGGTATTGAAAGAATCGGCGTATTCGACGCCGGCCATCAGATATTTCAATTCTGGACAGATGAAAGCGTTTCCGGCATAAGCGGCATCCACGTGGAGCCAGATCTACAATAGAATTCTCAATTAGAAATATGAATTAACCAATTAATAATAGCTAAATCTTTCCGATAGGCGTAGATAATTTTACACGCACCCCTGGATATTTTTTACAAACCGGTCCAATTTCCTTAAGATTATCAAATGAACAGCAGGCGGTTGTGCCGAGAGTCGTTGAGACGAAAAAGGGAACATAGCCTTCGGCTGTATCACTCTCGATCGCCTATCAAATAATTAGAATGCATTATATGAAATAACGCGTTATATAAAATCAATTAAGTTAATTATTGAAGCGTAAATTGAGCGAAAAATTAATGAAAATATTTATGAATTTATATAATTCCTATGACGCCAAATATAAATATATTTATATTGTTTGAAAATTCTGTGAAATATAATTTAATTACACACTCATTAACTTTTATTACATATATAATTTTTTATAAATTATAGAAAATGTCATATTGTAATTAATTTATTTCTGTGTATGGATTTTTGGGAAAGCAACGTTATGATTCATTTGTACGCACTTGTCGCAAGGTCTCCCCGCGAAGTACGCTCTTCTCATCCGGCTCGAGAATACGCAGTTTCACGAAGCATATCATAGCGTCCTTCTCGACGGAACTATGACTTTCCCGGCTGCAATATGCCATCAGCTTCCCAAGCAGCGCGGTCTCGTCCAAATGTGCATGTGCAGGAGATTCCTTGAGTCTCGCAATTGCTTGTGCTCGTGCAGCCAGCATGCACACGAGAATGCATTCCGATGCCGAGCCCTGTGTACAGGGTGATCCACATAAAGCGTTTTCTCGATGTAACGGCTTTTCTGTAATTTATTACTTTGAATATTCTTACAATCTTTCACGCACCTCTATAACGCCTCCACCTTTACTGCCTTCGCTGAAGTATAGGAAATCCGTTGGTAATCCAATCGCCTTGCCTATAATTCAGAAAGATGATGTATTACTCCGTAAATCGATCGTTCGCGAAATTATTCTGACAAAGTATCACAAAAGAGAATTACCGAACCAATCGCAGACTATTGTCTCCAGTTCCGTGCAGGCTGGGCTGGCCGCCTAAGACAAATAAGATTCCATTTGGGGAATGATTAAGTAAATAATTGGCAGGCGATCCATCATACGAATTTGATGCGAGATCAGACGAGAAATTGAGATTCGCGAGAATTGCTTTCAGATCGCCAGTTTATCGCTGCGTCAAGCAATTCGTCTAATTTTAACTTTGCCTAGTATTTACTTATAGCTTCTTAAGTTACTTGAAGAGATTTCTCACTCACCCAAGAAAATCCAATGCAGCCTATGGCATCCGATAGCATATCACCGAGAATAGAAGGAAAGGAATTTCCTGCCGGGAAGTAGGCGTGGAACCTTGGATGCTGCCAATGCGTGATCTAGAAGACAGTTTGTCTCGTAGAAGCCCCCTATTTTCTCTTGTAGTCATTAAGTATTTTTTATACGCAATAAAAACTTGAAATATTCTCTTCTTTTTAATATGAGAATCGCAATATCTATAATTTTGATAATTTAATATGAAATAAATTCAGTTAGAGGAAAAAAAAGAGACTAACTTACGTCTGTGATTCTGATCGAAATTGGATATCGCAATAGTTTAGCTATTTAGGCTATTTCTGATATCTCATATCTATAACTTACAATTAATTTCGATTCCTTCCAAATTTCACGAATACTCACGCCTGGCATAATCTTCGATTCCACATCCTTCATGATCTCGTCCCATGACTCCGGATTATTCGGCGGTTCTGACGGCAATAGAGGCCTAAGATAGCCAGGACCAATGTCTGGCGTGACTCTCCTGGTATGAATATTGCCCATGAAATCGCAAATGTAGTCTACCATTTCTTTACCGCGGACGCGGAACTCTTCAATATCCATGATGACTTATTACAAGCTCAATTCGGTGACCTTTGCAATTGAAGATATTGAAATTTCAGTTTTTCGCAAAACAATATATTTTTTTTTATCATTCTCTCATTTATTTTTCTCAGTATTTTTTCATTTCTCTTATATTTCTCTAATTGTAAGATATTTTTATATTTATATAATTTTTCTATATTTTTATTAACAAAGTTATTTTATTTATAATCATTTTTGTAATAACATATTACATTTTCTTCTCTTATATTAATAATCTGAATTCAACATTTTACACAGAGAAATATTTTCAAGCATCTTATTTTCCAAATATATTTTCTGTCGATTTTATTATTTTTTATATGAAATCTTTATTATATAAATTCTAAATATCTTTTAACTTATTATCGATAATGCTTCTTTAAATCTAACTAAGTCATTATATACATATAAAAAAAGATTGTATTTTTCTTCTCTCTTTTCTTCTTCTTTTATTATTTTTATTATTTGTAAAAAACATCTTTCTATAAATGAGAAAAGAGGAAATCGAAATAAAGACAATCGACATAAATTCGTTTCGAATAAATTGCTAAAAGATTCAGTAATTAGAAACATATAATTCGACCATTACAAAAAAAATTATTTGTTTGTAACGATATTATAATGATGTCTTTATTCAAGACAAAAAAATAACAGTTACTACTTCTATTGCCGCATATATATCAATTATACATTTAAATTTAATTTCATACATTTGCTTGTATATATGTTAGCATATATATTTTAATAATGCTAAATTATTTCATTACAAATGAATACAAATTTTCTACAAACGTAATTTACAATCTAAGTAAGTTAATGCAAAAGAATGTTTTATTATTAACAATACACAATAAAAGTGAAAGGCTAAAAGACCGTGGCGCAGGTTGTTAAAGCGTAAAAAAATAAAAATAATAATAAAAAACTCTAAATAAGAGATATAATATATTAATAATCAGTTAGATATAAAAATACATACGTACGTACGTTTCGATCTTTTCAAGATCCTTTTCAATGTACAAGAAGTCGTTAGAAAATAAACAAAATTAAATTTTAAATAATAAAGAGCGCGATTAAACAAGAATAAGCACGATAAGAAACAAATAGATATTGTGTATAATAATAACGGTCGCAAAATTTAAAACCGCTAACAACAGATGTGACGAAAGCGCAATGTCTGGCATTATTAGTTTAGTTTGCTACCTGTCTCTTACTTAGAGTCTTTTATTATTACTTTTATTTTTTTATACGCTCTAACAACCTGCCATGGTCTTTTAGCCTTTCATTTTTTATTGCGTATTGTTATCATCCGATATATTGCTTTTGTCTTTGTATTTCATTATTAATATTTCTTTATATAAATAAGAGCGTCGCCAAACAATTATTCATACCAACTGCATCGCGACACTTCTACATTTGTAGTTCAACATAGTCAAATTTTATTTTTCCACAAAATGGAAAAATATAGTGTAAAGAAATTAGAGGTTGTTTAAGGAGCGGTCTTCGAAGCCTAGTCCCTTAAGCGATCTTAAGAATCGAGACAATATCTTGACATTTCCATTTTGACACGTTTACACATATTTTCGCGATAGTTTACGTATTAACTAACCCATGAATTTCAAGCTGAAAATATTTCGATTAATATTTTTTTCACGACGAATCGTTCTCGCAACTGTCACTTTCGCGCACTCATGGTCTCAAAATTCGCGGTTGCCTCGTGCGTACGCGTTTTGCATTCTCCTACCTGTTGCTGATAGCAGTGACGTGATGATACGACGTGATAGAATCGGGGTTGATACAACGACTCGAGCTTACGTCGTCGGATCGGATGACGACTGAACTGAACTGAACAATCCGAGATAGTTCGCCATCCACGAATATATGTCGGGGGCATCCAGGGCGCAAAATTCCATCGGCGAGTCCTGCGCAAACGCATCCTTCTTCGGCAGGACTTCTTCGCCATTTCGTGAAAAGACGTGCGCCCAGCGTCGGCATCCGCCCCAACACAATTACGCGTTTCGCTTAGATATATGTGCCCCTTGGATTCGGCCAAAGATCATAAAGTCAAGTTATCCTCCGAAGGAATTTTTATACGAAAATTATGCGAAATTACTTGCGGGGAGATTAAACGATCTGCGGGTACAAAAAGGAGAGGAAACTTTTTCTATTATTTTCTTTAATAATTTTATGAAATATTTTGCAATTATTTCATTAAAGGCATGGAAAGATAGATGGCAAAAAGTGAAGCTTATATAATTATGTCTAAATTTTTTATTCTGGCTGCAGATTATTATATTTTTATATAATAGATACTATAATTCTAATTTATTTTATATATTGCGAAAATATAGAAAATAGATTAATCTAATTTAAATGTTCCTTAAAAAATAGGAAAGACATCCGCAATTTGAAATTTAAATAAATCTTACAAAACATCATAAGATTTATGTAATTACTTTACATTTATGTAATTACTTTACTTTGGAAAATTAAAAAATAATAAATGTAATGTAAAAGCTATTTCATTCTTATTAGTAAAACAATTAGAACTAATATTATAATCATTTTTTTATAGAAATACATTTTCTTTTCTTCTCATACATAGAATTTGTATCGAACGTAAGTAAATATGAATCTTCATCCCCTTTTTAAAATTTCCTTCTTATCATTAATTTATTATTAACTTTATTAATAATAATATTTAAAAGTTTTTGAAAGGATGTTCGTAACAAAAATGAAAAGATAAAAATCAAAGAATATTAATAGAAGAAGACCTTTCCATTATAAAGAATTTTATTTTATCATGCGGAAATATTTATACAATCGATTTTTTATAAAATCGGAAATATTTATATCTATCGAATTGTTTCGATTGCTCTTAGTCTTTCAACGAAAAAATTTTTGCATATCGGTGATGAAAACTGACTTATCTATTTAGGATTCAGTAAAAAAAACACTGGATGATCTTTCAAACAAATTCTTTAATTAATTTAAGCTTATCCTTGATAAAAGATATCGAGATAACTCGTTACTTACTCTCGCAATCTTTAATATTTGTTTAAAGTTTTTAACGTTACATATATCTCTTTATAGTTTAGGTTTGAATTAAAATTTTAGAATAAAATTAATTCAATATGATATTAACTCAAAAGATATGATTTCATACATATTTATTTGTTCTTTTCATATTTATTTCATCTTTTTAATTGGAATTAATTTAATTTGGAAATACCTATGAAAACAATTTTTTCTTACTAATTATTAGAAACTTTCGAAGAGTTCGATCGGGGAAAAATTAGTTTTAAATCGGTCAAAGGATCTGTGATTTATCAGCAAGATATACGATAATATGAGACACCCAGTACAGATGCCTCATTCACTCGAGTAAATTGGATGCTAGCGTTCTCGTGGTTTATTAAGATGAAAAAAAGGAGGTAACGTAGGCATCGTTAAGAGAGTGCCAGTTGCAGAAGACGTCAACTGATTCTCACTTAGAGGAAACCGAGAACGAAGTACACGAGATCTTCGGAAAACCCTTGACCTCTCTTGCCTTCCTCGCGCTAAAGAATCCGTGGGCTCAAGATATCGTGGAACGCGTTACCTTTGGAAAGGCAGACGATTCGAATCATCGATCCCTCATGTTCCATGCTGCTGAAATTAACTGCCGATGATGAAGGCGGCTTTCGCCGAATCAATTTGCGTAGTAATTATAGCTCGAGGAAAGTCAAGCGGTTCGAACGATAATTTAGAAGCATTATAGAATATTTGTCGATTACGACGAAACGATCTATAATGCGGCGATATGATGATAATGGAATTGATAAATACCTTTTAGCACCGATCATGACTATATCCTTAATGGAATAATTAATTTATATTAGACAGATGTTTTTTTACTAAAAGGCCATTTTTTTTTCTCAAAATTTTAACACAATGAAAACATTTCTAGACAAAATTTAATATTATACAACTTAAAAAAATATTCATCGTGATAAATTAATAGATATTGATTTTTGTGAAAAAATGTCTGGAAACATTTTTTGTTTTAATTCTTCAAAAACTTGGTTTTATGAAATCATGCCGAAAGTTTAATTGCATCGTGAATAAATATATTCCAAATAGATTGGTCATCTTATAGATATGTTCCAGCATATCTATTTAGGTCACCAATTAGCGCGAATTCTAGTTAATTAAATTTTCTTTGTCTGCATTTATATCACGTGGCATCTCAATTTAGAAAGAGGCTATCATTAACTCGGAATTAATTAAATTGAATTGTGAAGACGAGTCATTTCTTGAAATGAGCATAACTTTTATATAATACACACACACACATATATATATATAAATTTTTTGAACTTTTTTTAAAATAAAAATAACGCCTTTTGTAGGAATTAAATAATTTAATTTATATAAAACAAGCATCGTCCTTTTATTCATTAATAAGTTGCAAATCGATGACTCATTGAAACTTTAGGGCCCACGCGTGCCCTTCGTGCGCAAAAGGGCACATGACGCGACGCGTTACAAGGGTCGATTTCCTCTGGGGGGGTACAACGAACTCCGGACCGGTGATCGCGGGCCAACGACAGGGAGTCAGTTCTTTTACTCACGCCCTTCAGGGATAAAAACGTTCATAATGCTGGAATGTCAGAACGGAGAAAGGAAGAGGTTGCCCCGACCAGCGGGGGTGCTTAATAATGCAATATGGCGTCGGGGCGTTGCAATGCTATGCGGACTATGTCACGCATACCACAACCATATACGCCTACACTTTGAAACCTCTCGCACCCCCGCGTCTTGTCCCCTTGCCCTCTTTCTCCTATCGCCATGGGTTCTTCTCCGAGCGAACGAGGCCGCACCAATACCGAGATCAGCGAATATCGCCGGCAATCGAATGTTGATTGGAAAATATTGATGGGACTTCTCATCCAGCATCCGGCAATCTCTCTTTCTCTCCAACGTCGATGGAGAAGATGCTTTTTCCATCGCGATACGCTCAGGAATTCCAATGAATTATATATACATAGATATATATTTCTTTGAGGTTTTAGGATATATATATATATATATATATATATATATATATATATATATAGATATTTTTTTCGATATCACTTTGATATCATTGATACTAATTATATTAAACTAATTGACACTAAATTTAATTAATAGGGATCATACCCAAATGGTGATGAAGCACAAAACAGTATCAATCATAACAGTATCAATGAAGGAAATGATATAATTACTATACAAAAAATTGGTAACATTTTTAAAAATTGTGCTAAACAACTTCGATTTTTCATTGATAATTATGAGATAACATTTTTCGTATTGTATTTAATATATCTCTAGTTCTTTTCTCAATCGTACATTTTTAAGTGATTATTTTACAATGTAGACGTTTATATTCATATAGGAACAATTTATATTATTTAAAATTTTATGTAAAATTTTAAAATGTAACTATAGATAATTTCTTATTACATTTCGCTTAAATAACATCTCTTTTAAGTGCCTAATAATTGATTAGCATATTTTTTACTTGCTCTATAATATCGTATTTTTTGTGAATTTAGCTTAATAATGGAAATAATTATTCTTATAATCAAATAGTAATTATATAATTAATTTTCGCATTATCTTATCGTACATACATGTTTGTTAAATATCGAAATCTCTTTGAGAGCTATATCTTTACTTTGTACATATTATTTGATATTGAATCCTTTAATTAAAAATATAATTAAATTCTTTTAGCGTTATTCTAAATATCTATATTAATTATATTAATTGATAATTAATTTAATAATAGATAATTTTTCTGATAATTATATTAAATAATTTTATTTTAGTGGATATTATATTATTATTATATTTGATAATTATATTTTATTATAACGATACTCTTTTTCTCAAATAAAAAAATTGATTACTAGGTACAGATGTATTTAAATGCGGGAACAACTCTTTCAGCGTTCTCTGACCCGTATTCTTATCTTTACGAGTGTGGAAACTCCAGATAAACGTCACAATCAGTAAAATATTTCTGCGTGCGACTGTACAAGGTCGTTCTAAGTTCCATGAATGGTTCCGAATGGCACGTCAGCGAAGCTGCGATGCTTGTGACTGAACCCATGACCTACTAGCAAAGAGGAAGAGAGAGAGAGAGAAACGTGATGTCTAAACATCGCTGTCAGTGGCTTCGATTTCCAGAACAGTTCAACTATTTCTGAAATTGCACCCTCTAACATTATACTGACCTTATTTAAAAAAAGAAAATCTGTCTCGCATCTTTATTGCGCCAAAATCTATTTTAAACTGTAATGATATATACTTTGCTATCTTACATTATACATGTAGGACTTTTAAATAATATGAAAAATGTTATCTATGAATTTTTTTTCGGAGTATTATTCCGGAATCGACTTTTTCTTGGAGAAAGTTTACATGGACAATTATTTATATTTTACAGCTTCTTTTAATATGAAATAACTTAGTAATTAAAGTTTGATTTTAGTAATTAAATTATGTTAAAATTCTTTTTACAATAATTTAAAATAATTTTAATATAGTTGCTAAAATAAAATTTTAATTATTTTAATTAAATTTTAATTAAGTTACTAAAAGATACAAAAAAGCTGTAAAAAATAAATAATCATCTATATAAATGTTCAGAAAGAAAAAGTCATTTAATTATTTTAAATATAGATAAAGTTTAATTGATGAATATAATTTGCTCATTTTCTTCAATATTAATTATCCTTTAATTAATTAAAAGTAAAGTATCATCAATCAACATTATATATTGCGCTTAACAAATAAGAAATATAAGAACTAATTCCACTTTTTTTGTATTTTAGATGGGAAAATCAAAGTTGAAGAAGAAACTAAAGCAAGAAGGTGAATCGGCAGAAAAATCGACAAGTACGAAAGTGCCAATAGAAAATTTACCACAAAAATTTCTCTGGATGCATGTAAGTTTTTGAACTCTTCAGAGTTATAAAATTTACAGTTTTATTCACAGAACATATTTTGAAAGGTGAAGAGCGGCACAAAAATCAGAAATGTTCTTGACTATGCATTGAAGGAATTCCCCAATTATAATAGCATTGTTTGGACTGGAATTGGACAGGGTATTGCGAAAGCCATTTCTTGCGCGGAACTTTTCAAGAGGAAGCATGAAAGCCTCCACCAAGTCACAAAATTATGTTATATGGAGTAAGTTTGTTAAAACAAGTGTTAATGAGCAGTATTGATGCAATACCAGTGTTCAATTATCTTTTGATTTCAGACCGGAAAATCCGAAAGAGGACATAACTACTGAGACTCATCAAATACCAGAAGTACACATCTTGTTGACTAAGTATATTAAGGACACAACTGAGCTCGGGTGAGATTTTTAATTAAATGAGTGTGCATAATCTTCCAGATTTCGTAAAAAAAAAAATTGTACATCCGCTTCATAATTTATCTATAAAATTTGGTTATTTATTTTTGTCTTTAGATATCAAGCGCCCGACGATTGTGGAGAATTTCCGGAGAAGAAAGAAGAATCAAAATCAATGAAAAACGTTGACAATATGCTTTGCAGTGATACCGAATTAATGATAAAAAAACCACACATCGGGCAGAAAAGGAACAATGAAATTAATAATGCGAAATTACCCTCGAAAAAATATAAAAAAAGTATATCTTAACATTTATAATAACATATTAATATATATCTAAAGGAAGATTTAGATAGTACACTTTTAAATATTAGATTTACAGATCTCAAAAAAGAATTTACTTTATATAATAGAAGATATTATACTTCCATATAGTATTATAATGAGATCTTAACAATTTAGACAATTGACTCATAAAAAACTCTATAGTATGATTACGATATTAATATATATTTCTTCTTAACTTTATAACTGCCATCAATTTTATCGCCTCCCATCTGAACACTTTTCTTTTATTTTAAATATAGACAATTAAGCAAAAAAATAACAAAGTACAAACTTCCATATTTACAATTTTAGAAATATTGTTTCTTTCAGGAAAGAAATGATAAGCCAAGTCGTATGTAGAAAGTTTATTCTCTATCAGTACATAAACAATATTTTCACGAGACAATTACGTTATATATATATATATGTGTGTATTCCTGCTATATATTGATTCTTCACATTTCATCATATTCATTATTAATAATTCGAATTTTTGTACTTACAAATTTTATTTACAATGCTACAATATCCTTTCTATTATACTGGATAAGAAGAGAAGTCTGTCACAATGCGCAATTTATCAGAGCCAATGTCTTTTTTTGTTTAGAATCTCATTATCAAAAGAGTATAGGGCAGTAAAACTTTCACATCATAACATATGCCAGTATGTCAAATGTGAATCGCGATACAATTTTTCATGCAACACCTGTAACGCTATCTTATAATATATAATAAAAGGATCTCGTAATGAACGACGTTTGCTGTTATAAAATGAGGATTACATATTATTCGTCGCATTATCAACGATCGTCATCATTATCATCATTTTTTGTTTACTATCATAAGATTTAATTTTATAATCACTATTTTTTCAATTTAAGAAAAGTGACTACCGTTATCCATTTAAACAAATGATTCGTGTTACAATTTTATAACGATATGTTATATTATATTTTAAAACCTTAACCGAATTCATCACCTGTCCATTCTTTAAACATTGTATTTATTTTATTATAGTTTTGACTTAACTTTAATGTACATAAAACAAGTATTCGGTCCACAATTCACCGTAATAGTATGAAGTTTCATCGACAATAGGATAGGAAAGCCTAGCATTCTGCTTAATATTGCTATGGAATAAATGTATATATATATATATATATATATATATATATATATATATATATATATATATTAAATAACACTATTTCTTTCTATACTATCATATTTATCGCTCTCTCGTTCAAACAATGCATTTTACAAAGATCAACTATATAATGTAGATTATTATGCTTACTTAGACTAATACGATTCTCATCTAATAATGTGTAAAATCGTTTATATAAATTCACATTCTTGTTATGCAAATCGATAACAAATGCTTTTAAGATCTTATTTCCAGTTTATTGTAAATTTCAGTGTAACTGGATCTTGTTTTACCAAGCCTCTTTGATATTTATATCATTTCTCAAAGTTTTGCTGTTTTATTATAGATAAAATAAAAATAATTATGTAATTAATATAATTTCATCAATTCTTTCTTGACATTGAAAGATTTCAAGTTCTCATACAAAACGCATTATTTTTATATATAATTAATGATAAATAAAATTGTAAAAATATAATTTTGACAAAAGTAAGTCACATAAAAAAATTTTGTTTATATATTATAGAATGTTTATAAACAACTTTATATATATACCAACTTGTACTATTAAGTGTGTAAATAAGTTATATATTTTTCCATTACATATGTTTAGCATATAAAGACACTGTCTATTATTTTTACAAAAAAGAATTGATATAATTGTTACATTTAAAATATAGAGATATAAGAAATATTTTGCTAGTGTCTAAAAATTTCAATGGCATAAGATTAAAAGTTTATAATATTCTACTATAACTGATATAATTATAAAAAGTAACATTAAATTACTATATATAGTATGATTTACAAAATTTGATAGTTTTAATGAATTCTCTCTTATAATGTTTTAAAAAAAACTTTCTTAAAAGGACAGATAAATATAAGAATTGGCTTGCCATACGGAAAATACTATATGTTGTATATATATGTATATATATATATATTTATACATATATATATATATATCGATAATTGCACAAATATTGGTAAAATAATCAAAAATAGTTTCTATTTAATCTAATCATGTTGGAGATAGAAAAGATTGTAACAGATTTATACTATTTAAGTGAAAGCAAATTTACTGACCTTTTTAAAGATCTTTGTCAGATATATATTTACCATAAAATTCAGAATGTTTCGTGAATATTAGCAATTTTTTCTACTAAATCTGACAATTCGACTTTGGACAATACGATCGCAATGTTAGATCCTATGCTTCGCTTTCCGTTGCACCATCACCTTCCATAATAGGTACTATTAAATTATCCTTTGACATCAGATTATATTTTGTCACAAATGAGGTAAATCTATAATAAAGCAGTATGTTATTTTCATTACAATATAGTATTTTCATTATATAACATATAAATGGCTGAATAAAAATATGGATAGATTGCATTTATTACCTGCGGCAAAGGAAAGTCTCATTTTCAAATTCATCAAATATTGTTCTATGGTGGAAGTATGCATGTGAGAAAATTCTATAAACTCTACGGCAGACAGAACCAAGTTTTGCTACAGAAGATTCCTTAATGCTGATTCTAAAACAGGAATTCATATATTACAAGATTAGAATGATTAGAAATTTTACGTAGAAAAATTTAATATGACAATTTTTGTAATATAATTAATAAATAAAAGATAATAAATTTTATAAATGCGGCATATATATATATATATATATATATATATATATATATGTAAAAAGATTACCTGCTGGGAAAATATTTGTTGCTGTTAAGTAAACATGCTGCTCCATCCAGTGTATGCCGAGTATAATCAATTGCAGGACATTCTTTGGGAGTTTTATGTGCGGCACACAAAAATATCCACTGTTCTGTAGCTGTCATCTGTGTGCATGTTTCAGGATGACATTCTTCTTGTAATCTCACTGCCAAACCATTAAGCTCCATGCAGAATTGCCTAAGATGTTCATACTTCCATACTCCTTCATCATTAGCTTCTGGCATATTAAGTATTAAATCAATGTTAGATGGATCTCTTCTGATCATTTGTTGGATATATTGTTGCACAGCTAGTGTACTATCCATTTCTTCAAACGGCTCATCGGGCCACCTACTGAAGTCCTAGAATAAAATAAAACTTTGAACATATAAGCTTGATAAAAATAATTAAATTACGTCAATGCTTTTAAACAATCGATTTCTTCTTTCCTATATAGGTCATCATGATGTAAAAATAGATTATATACAATAGAAAATATAAACTCTGTGCATTTTACTTCAATTTTTAATACCAATAAAAAATGTCAAATTTTGAGAAAAACACGATCTGTATAGTTTTAAAAATAAAATGGAAAACTTTATACAATTATATTTCGCACGAGAAAAATAAAATAAAATAAAATAATCTGATATAATTTCCTCATGCTTTGGTGGGAGCTAAGAAAATGTCACACTCGTAAAATCACATAAAATATCTTATATAAAGAATATTTATAAATGCACAAGCGATTCTACGAGAGAAAAAAAATGGCAATATTATTCTCGTATTGTAAACAATACTCGGTTTATCTTGCATAGTTCATTGATTTTCATCAGGAAAGTCACAAAAGAAAGGGGAAGTGTCAGGGAATCTGTAGTAGAAAGATATAGTTGGCATGATGCGGACTTGACAATCTCAAATATTGCTCGTGAATACAAATACAACACTTTTTTGAGACGAAATTAATAACCTCTGCCTTCGTTCCGGGCCTGTTTCTTCGCAAGATAGTAGGTCCGTCCGCCATCTTCATCTTGCCAGTTGTTGCACTTGACTGACCGGTATGCACGCTCGATTAGCGAGGGCGAGGAGACGACCACTCCGTCGAAGTTCTCGTCGATAGATGCACCCGCGAATGCGAACCCTATTTCATTTCACCCTAGAAAAGACGAATCAAGTCTGAAAGTTGCCTAGACTGTTTCTCCTAGAAAAATTACGCAAGCGTATAAACTCGTATTTCAAAATATTGCGCCAGTTTTAAATTCGCACGAATATCTCGTCGACGATACTTCACAATTATTTCGTCGACGAGTCGGATCAAATCGTATCCATCTAATATTCATATATATATATATCAATTTCTATGTATATCAAAGCTCGAGAACTCGAATTTTTAAAATTTAAACCTCACAGCAACTTATAATTCAATGTTTACATTTGGCAAAGTAACAGGTTTCAAAAAGTTTCACATTTATGAATTATAAATATGTGAGAAACACAGAGAGAGAGATAAAGAAAATTACAGCTAAATATTTTCTTTACATTGTATCTAGAAAAATATTTATTTTTCTTTTTAGTGTATTATATACAAATCTGTAAAATAGTGTTTTTTATTGTATATCATTCAGTTGATAAAGCACTCTCATTATTTGCTTGATTTTCGATATACATTTTTGTCACTATACACTTTGTCATATGACAATTACATGGAATATCATGCTCTACTTCCTCTGCGTCCAACAAATTTAGTTCTATATTATAACGTCTCGGATTTGATGTGTCTTTTTTTAATTCCAATTTGAAAGCGATAGGTTCTTTTTCTATCACCTTTGTATCTGTAGGTAGAACAATTGCAGTTTGTTTCCAATGTGTTGCCTCATCATAAGGTGCTGTAGATAGTTTTGAACCATCTGGGAATTCAACCACAAACCAAATACATATCCCTTGATATCTTCCATTCTTCTCACATACCGATACATAATCGTCTCCACCTAATAGATTTAGCTCCTCTATAGAGATGCAATTTAAATCCAGCCAAGCAAGCAATTTTCCTTCTGCCAAAAGATTATCTTGATTTAGAAGTAGCACTTCTGGTTTCATTGATTTAATTTTTCTATATTCTTTTCCAATACATCTAAATAAAAATTGAATATATTACTGAATAAGTATAGTTCTTGAAACATAAAAAAAGAAAATAAAAAAGAGAAATAGGAGCATTATTATTTTTTTAAATTTAATTAGACATATTTGCCATTATTTTCTTTTTTGTTTTATTTAAAAATAACACAATTACCTCATACTGACTCCACATACATTATCCCAAAATTCATACATAGATGGTAATTGGCAAGGCGAAGCATACAATTTTGCTATGGATGGGAATAATAAACCATCCTTTTGCAAGAACTTATCTCTAGCAAAAAGTACAGAATCTAACATTCCTTCGTGCACTAGATAAAAACCCATCCATTCTGAGATAATTATATCTACTTTCTCTAAACTGTTTGGATCAATATCTTCTACCTTACTATGAATTATTTCAACTGTATTTTGTATATTATTTTCAATCAACACTTGTTCAATAGTCTTTACTAACATGCTTGCTTCCACTGCATATACTTTCTTTGCACCAACTTGAGCACAAAAAATTGATAATATACCTACAAAAAAAAATATACATCACAATATATAATTAACATTATTATACATTGAAGAAAATAACATGTATAATATATACTCTTAATAGTTAGTATTTAATTGTGACAAAAAAATTTATTTAATTTACCTGAACCAGCACCAACATCCATCACTATCTTACCCTGAAATTCATCTTTCATATTAAAAATAGCATTTTTGTATGTTAAAACACGTGTTTTATCACTTAGCATTAATTGATGAATCTAAAAATACATTTAATAATAAACACATACATATAATTATATGATTGAATGTATATATTTTTTTATTTTTTAACTTACGTCGAGTTCTTCGTAACTTTCAAAATATTCATCCATGGTTTATTGATACATACAGATATAACCTAAAAAAATTTTAATTTGGAATAAAATAACCTACACTTTTATTTTTTTAATATTGTTATTTAATTTTTATTTTTCCTATTCGATATCAATTAAAAAGATGTATAAGTCGAATATATAATTTATAATCATTAAGAGCGTGTGTAAACATGTAAATGTCGTTCAATCTATTCAATGTTTCACTCTATGTCGATGCAATCTGTCTTCATATTATAATTCTATCTTTTAGAAATAAGCAAGAATAAATAAACATACAAGAAATTGAAGAAAATATTTATTAGCACATTATATATTTTATAATAAAAATAATATATATTGCATCTTTTTAAACACAATTATTCAAAAGTTAATATATGTAATGCCCATAATTATTAAATTGTAACTAATTATTATATATAGAAAGCAAGATAATGAAAATACAATTGATTATTTGATATTTTAAGAATATAAATGAGTTAAGAGATTTTAATTTTCTCTGTTTCAGGCTTCCTATTTTTTTGCAAGATATTTATTTATTTAAATAATAATAATAAAGCTACTTCTTGTTTAAAGATTGATTTTACAATTCAGTTTTACTTACATAATCAATTTAACTTATATAAAAAATAAATATATATTCTATATATATTAAAGATATTACATTAATCTTGATTTTACAAAACAAAAATAATATTTATAAGATTCATATCATTTATGTGTAATTTTTAATATTTAGGATTAGGCTTTGGGTTACTATTATTTAATACTTGTTCTTCTTTTGCCTTCATACGTTTTTTAAATTCCATTTGTTTTTCCAATTGCTTCCTTTTCCTTTCTATTCGTTGTATCTCGTTTGCTGATAATGCTATAAAAATTAAAGATGATGCTTAAAACATCTATTAGAATTTATTAAAAAGTTATTTTGTATATAAAATGATAGTTGAGTTTTTATAATAGTTGTGAATTTACTTTATTCCATCTAAATTTCCTGAAGTTCTGTGGGAAAGAGAATTGCATATTTTTATATAAAATAAATTATGTTTATATGTATATATATAATTATAATAATATACTCTATATTTCTTTATATTTAGTATATCATAATTTTATAAAGCAATTTCAAAATAATAAAATCAAAATCTAGTATGTTAGTTTAGTTTGAACTAAAAAAAATATCAAGAAAATTTTATACACTCTTTTAAATGGATCTAGATTTTGCAATATGAGTCTGCAGCATGCATTAATATCACAATTAATATAATTTTGATCAATATTGAATATATTCACTTATATAGTACCTTGTTTTGAACTGTCTTCAGTTTTAGTATCCGTTTTGTCACTTTGTACTATCATTAACTTTTCCTGATTTAATAAAGGTTGAAGATCTTCTTGAGAGTTAATCATTTCGGATAATGATGGATTAGTATCTGTTGTTTCCTTTTTTGCAACAGGTACTAGAATACACTCTTGATTTGTAGTAATTTAAATTGGATATATGTATTATAGAGCATTTCACAAACATATGATTAGATGAATTTATTTTTTACAAACCTTTATTTTTATCTGATTCCAGATCTTCATATTCTATCTTACAAATAGGAGCTTGAATAGAAACATTTGACTTTCCTTCAATCTGCTTATTAGCTGATTGTACTATATTTTTCTGTTTGTCATTAGTTTGTTTAGGATTAATTTGTTTTTGTGATTGCAACTCTCTTTCAATTTTACCTCCAAATGACAACAAAGCTCTCCTTAAGCCATTTACAGCAGAACCCTATAAATTAAAATTCTTATAACTTTTCAGTCGAATATAAAATATTGTATGTATTATTTATCTTTTTCAAATAATTGATATATACAATTCTTGCATTGTGTATTGACAAGCCTTTTGTAGATTCTTCTGCGCTATAATAACCAATATCTTCATGAAAGGTTCCATTCTCCAATTGAACTTTAACGGAACTAACACATCCAACATTGCACTTGGCACCAATGATTTCAACATAATCTGCAATAAATTTAAACTTGTGTTTATATGTAAGTTCAATAAGAGAAGACTATTTATGCTTACATAAATACATTATTCGAAATTGACTACAGATATACCTAAAGTTTGATGAACAATAGTATGATTCCATTTTTCTTCTCCAAAAACTTTATTAGCTGTTGAAATTAAATCACGATGCTCTGCTGCAAAATCCATAGATTCCATTTTCTCAGATTTCTTTGCCACAGCTTGTTTTGTGACAGGCTGAGAAGTGGAAATATTTATAGGTTTTATTTTTGTACAATCGAAAAATAAATATTTTTGACTATGAAGCCAAAAAACCGTTATCAGCTCAAATGAAAATTACTCACAATTTTAATACATGATAAAAAATCGTGCCCATTATACATCCTGTCGAGAAATTCGCGCCAAAGATTTGCGTCTTTAAATCGCAAATTTTAGCGCGCAAATAAAATTGAGAGGAAATGAAAAAGAAACGTAGAGTATTATTGAAAAAAACAACCAATCACAATCGATAATTATCGGAAACTGTCATTTTAAAATCTGAAACATAAAGGTCTGTCCAAATAGATATGCGTACTCACATATGGACATGCGCAGAAGAATCAACCAATCACGTACTTAAGAAGAATACAGCAATATGGCGTTCTTTAAATCAGACTTTTTGATTGGTCAATTTCTCTTTTTCATATGCTTTGTGACAAATGTATTTGAGTGTAGATCATAGACCTTATAAGTATGGACTGGCAATACGTATCAGACTGTGTCCGGAGGAGGTTAGAGAGAGAAACATACTTTTTGGTACTTCTCTTTCTACAAGTGCAATGCATACTTTCGGACACTTGTAGAAAGAGAAGTACTAAAAAGTATGTTTCTCTCTCTAACCTCCTCCGGACACTGCTTCTCTACAGAAACTATAGGCAATTGCCAGTCCATATCTGTAAGGTCTATGGTGTAGATACAGGTGTATGGCTGTGTTCCAAAATTCACTGCCAGTACTGAAAATCTATAGTTTACGTGACGTACACTGGCAGTGAATTTTGGAACACAGCCTATATATTATTGTACTTTTTTCAAAAGCATACATTTAAAATATAAAATATAAATGATAAAGAAGGTTGAGATTATAACGATATTATGTGTAATATTTAGAGATGGCAACATTTAATAATTGCATATAATTTGCATAAGGAAAATCTTAAAAACAAGGATTAAAACTAATAAATTTTCAGTAAGTTATTCAAATACTAAATACAAGACACTTCAATCTTATTTTTATAATTTTTAAATGAAAAACTTTGCTTTATACTATTACTTTTTTCTTTTTATCACTGCGAATATAAATGTAAAGATATTTCTCTCTCTGCGCCTATCGTATTGACATTTATAAATTAAATATTTTTATCTATTTTTATATCGTCCATCGCAGACGACAAAACGTCACCCAACCACTTTAGCAAGACAGCTATTTCAAAAGTGTGACGCGCTGTGGAAATGCGATTTGTTTTATTATCGTAACAACATTATTCAATTTACTTATCAAAGATTATCCGTACAGTATTCGCGACTGTTGATTGACATAAGTGAAAGCATTATTCTTGCAATGCGAAGATTCAGGAAGGCGTTTGATTAATGCAGAAGGCGAACCCTGATATCTCGATTAATATAAACGATTATGAGGATGGGATATATATATATATATTGTGATAGTGGTGCGATAGCTTTTGTGTGACATATAGACGACACCCTCGCTTAGTTAAACATGAGATTCAATGATAGGGAGCTCGCAGAGGCGAGTTTTGGGCCCGCTGATCTCGAAGGACGTCTAAATCATAAGCGGGCTCATAAGTCAGGTTAGTTTAGTGTGAATAATAATTAAACACTTTTTATGCAGTACACATACAACAGCTCGGCTTAATCTCTGTTCTTTCTCTCCCCTATTCCTGATAGTCGTCTGATAATTATTCGATATCGAAAAAGATAAACAATACCTTTTATTTACCTATTGTACATATTCTGACTCTTTTGTCGAGAAATTATATTTAATTATTACATTGTTGTGTGCTTACACAATTATCTGCTTTTATGATTTACATTTCTGATTTATACTGAGAATTATTTCAAACATTGCCACATTATTCCACTTTGCAACATAAATTAGAATAAATAAATTTTAAAGAAACAAGATGATTCTAATTCTAATAATTCTTTAAAGAATTTTTAATTATTTGAAATTTATAATAAAATACTTGACCTAACTTTAGGAGTGAGTTTCTGCATGAAAACAAAAGAAAATAATTTATATATATTCTCATTAAAAAGTTTATTATCTTATATAATTAATTAGAGAATAATGATTACTTCTTTTTCTCAAACCTTAACAATCTTATTATGCAAATTTGTTGTATGAATGATAGAACAGATGCATATATATTTAAATAATTAACAAGATAATATATATATTTTTAACATACAATTTATTCATTTTCAGTGTTTAAAGAAAAATGGTTCAAGTTGCGGTACAATCTGCTATTTTACTTCAATATTAATGATTTAGGACAAATTGATAGGAGACAACCTGCTGGTGTCATTATTCTAGAAAATTGCAGCATTAACATAGATACTTCATCAGAAGGAGTATTTGCATTTAGTATTTCATTTCGTGATGAACATGAAAAACGGCATGTATTAAGTGGTCGATCAGAGTCTCAAGTGGAACAATGGATTAACGCACTTAAACAAGCAAGCTATGAATATTGGCGATCTCGCTTGATTGTGCTTCAAGAAAGATTGTGCAAGAAAACTGGTAAAGATCCCTTGTTAATGTATCCTAGGAATCAAGGTGTTGTACGAGATGAAGCTTGGGAACCTGCTTCTAGCTTCAGATCTCATGTACGTTCATTTGCAACATCAGTTGGATCATCATCCACATTGAATACAATAGCCAGGGAAGTTAATCTTATAGAACTTTAATACAGGATAATAATTGTAACTAGACTTGTTGAATTAATTTAATGGTAGTTTTTGAAATTTTTATTTTAGATATTGAAAGATCTGCATAATATAATGAACGAAATAGTTACATACAGTTTTTTATTTATAATATTGTCACTGCCATTTAGGCAAATTTTGAGATGTAGTTTCATCAAATATATAAATTATAATTATTTATACATTATTTATGCCAAATCAGATAAAATAGAAAAGAAAGTAAAATATTGTAATTGTATAAACTAAATTTGCTTTGTATAATAATTTAATATAATATTAAAATTATTTGCATAGGGAATCAAAAACTACTATTAATGCAAACGAAATGATTTTTCTCTAACACAAAAACAGAATATTGAAAAAAACAAAAGGAAAGATTAATAAATTACGAAAATTTATGTAATAAGTATGCAGTTGTAATAAAATACAACATGCAAAATATATAATGACATGTATATAATCTATACTCGCCTATAGCAATATTGAACAACAAATTATGATATGAAAATATGCTAATTTAATAATATTTCTTATAATTAAGTACATTAAGTATAATTAAGTATTCTTATATTGTGTGTATATTGGATAAAAGATAATGCATCAGATACAATCTTTAGAAAATTATAATTATTTATTTGCTAATCATTTCTACCTCTGCAAATTTGATAAAGTATTTAAAACTATCAAATACTCACTTCTATTTATAACAAATTTATGTAGTAATGTTAATGTTAGAATAGAAAAATAATTTTGTAAAATAAAAAAAAATTATTTTTATAATCTTTGTATATTCTTCTGAGTGATATAAACAAGTTCATCAAATATTTCATAATTAGGAGGTAAATAAATATATTTGTAATAAATATTATTTATCCTTTTTACATATGTTTTATATATAAGGCAGATATAATTCCTTTATTATATGTATTAATTTTATAAAAATCCACTGTACAAATTCTTGTAAAAATAATGGAAAAGTCATTATTTAATATAACTTTTTTTAATGATATATGTATATAAATCCCATTTTTCTATATTTTTAATTTAAATTTTTTATATGATAATAATTTTATTGATAATCACATTATTTATTATTTAAAATCACGTTGATTTATATTATTTAAAAAAGATGGATAATAAAAAAATTAAATTATCAAAAAAGCAATTAAACGATAGCGAGAAATAAAATGTGTCTCCCAAAAAATAATTTTATAAAAATTATCAAAATATTAACAAAAAATCATGAATTGATTGACAAATACAATGCATATCTAAATATCTTTCAAATCATTGTCAATTAAATTTACCCTTCTGTCAAAGTATATACGCGATGATACTTTGACAGTTTTTCAAGAGTGAAAGACACCGATTAGTGCTACCTTTTATCGAGAGATTTTATCAAATCATAGTTGTATTTAAATTGATATTAAGAAAATGGATATTGAATACAAATTCCTGAAAGAAATCGACTGCAAACAAGGGGCTGTCAGAGCTGTACGATTCAGCGGTAAGGAAGTCGCTATGAGGTTATTAATAATGTATTTATATGAATAACATATATATTGACACATGGTTTTTTTGTTTTAGTTGATGGTTCTTATTGTGTAACGTGCGGATCGGACAGAAAAATAAAGCTATGGAACCCATACAAATCAGTTACGTTAAAAACATATGGTGGACATGGGGACGAGGTTATGGACGCCTGTGCGTCCTGTGACAGCAGCCAAATCGTGTCCTGTGGTCTGGATAAATCTGTAATCCTCTGGGATGTAGCAACTGGTACGCCTGTACGCCGCTTCAGAGGTCATGCAGGTCCAGTTACAACAGTAAGGTATCTTGTCATCACACTATTCATTTTCATTTTATACTAATTTTTCTTACAACTCAAATGACTGAGCTAAGTTTTATATATTTTATTACCACAGATTCAACGAAGAATCATCGATGATAATCTCTGGTTCTCGTGACAACAGCGTTATGTGTTGGGATGGACGTTCCAAAGCGCAAGAAGCAGTACAATCACTGAATGATGCCAAAGATTCTATTTCGAGTGTGAGAGTTTCAGATCATGAAATCTTGTCTGCTTCTTTTGATGGCAAAGTACGTACTTATGATATACGTATAGGAGAACTATGCGCAGATTATATGGGAGGTACGTAATGATAAGAGGTAGCGTAAGTAGATTTGTGATTCATCGATCAAAATATAAAAATACAAATTTTTTTAGATGCAATTACATGCGCCAGTTTTACCAGAGATGGCCAATGTCTAGTCGTCAGTTGTGCAGATGATGTAATTAGATTAATCGATAAAGATTCGGGAGAACAACTTGGTGAATTCAGAGGCCATACCGGAAAAGATCTATGTTTGGAATCAAGCGTAGATTACCAAGATACAAAAATTCTTTCGGGATCGGCGGATGGAAAGTTATGGATTTGGGATCTTGTCTCTCAAAATGTGGTTGCAAATCTCTCAGGACTTAAGCCAACTAAATATGCTACTGTATCTATAAGTGTTCATCCACAGAAGAATTGCTTTTTAGCCTCCAATGGATCTAATGTGTTAATGTGGAGTACTTTATCTCATACAGATGATGAGTAATACTAAAATTTGTACCATTATAAAGATAATGTAAGTTTTCAAAATTTATTATTTGCAAACGTTTTTATCAATTTTACTACAAAATAAAATTATAAGATACTGCAGTAAGTTATTTAGCACTTTAAAATATACCATATATTCTTTTAATAATGTTTACTTGATTATCTATTTAATGATTTCTATAAAAATTACTTTATATTTTTCTCTACTTTTTGAATAATTCTACCTCTTTAAATGATTTTACTTTTTTTTAAAAAAATCATCATTATTTGATATAAAAAATGTTGAGCAACATTATCATTCACAATATTATACATTATGATATTCTATTGTACGAGAGTTTAATTTTTATAAAAACAAGTATATACTTTTAGAGAGAGATTTAAATATTGACATTTGTGAGAGATAAACAAGTATATAAATTCCATTTGATTGACACGAAAAAATTTTACGATACACGTCCAATGTGTGTATACATACACATCACATACGTGCGCACACGCTTTATGCGACTCGACGCAAAATTCACGCTGACGTTTTTAATTTATAATCGTGCATATATGAGTTAGGTTAAGCTGGGATAGGTACGTACTTGGCAGTACATACTTGATGATTCGCACGCGTGTTATATGCGTAATGCGTGAGCTTTCGAACGTCATGCATTTTAGCGTTGGTGCGACAAAGAAAGCACACCGGTCCGAGAGAGAAAGAGACAGAGCGTGGAATCTGCGCGCGCAGGTGGCGCGATGTCGGTGCGTCAACATTCGGCGCGTCTCACTGGTCGGCGCAGTCTCTCCCGGGGAGCGCGAGAGAGAGGAGGTGATGGCCGTTTGAGGCGGCAGAGCGAAACGGTGAGAGAGCGCGAAAGAAACCGGCTGAATCACAGTAGTGGACTGAAGAACGCAGGATACATACGTACTGATTTTCTGACTTTTTTGTCGCCGGTAAAAATCGAAAGTTAAATTTTAAATATTAAAATTGATCGAATACACACTATTGTTTTTAATAATTGAAAAACGTAAGAAATACAAAGAGAATTCTCGCGCTTTAGAAGTTGTACGATGAGTTTTAAAATCTCTAAGGCGCGTGGAGTAGTGATGTAACTGCCTACGTAAATTATTAGCAAAAATCGAAGATCGAAAAAACTTTAGAGCAGGTATTGAAGCTAATATATTAATCCAGATACGAATATCGCAGAGATAATGGCTTTTTATGCTTGTTTATATAAAATTCTTTTTTCTATAGTTATAATATAGGAGATATATTAAATTAAATTTCGTTATATCAGTTTTAACCTTTATTTTGAAGACGTTTAACAATCATTTTATTGACATAATTTTGACGAATAAAATATTTAATTTTTGCATTGAAGATTGCTCCGAAGCTCTGGACGCCTCGCATGATAATCCGCCACTGCCGAATCGACACAGCGAGCAAGAAAGACAGGGAAAAGAGAGAGAAGGACAGATATATCGTGAGATCCGCGGAGGTGGCTGCATACGGGGCGGGCCGGTCAGTCTCGCCACTTCGTGAAATATTTTCCTTGTCACGCGGTAACCGCAAAAGGGAGAGTGAGTGACAGAAAGAGCAGGGATAAATTCTTTGCCGGGAAAAGCGAGGTGAAAACGAGGGAGAAAACGAGCGGGTTATACTTAGCGACTTCTCACGAATACCCATGTAGGAAGGAAGGCTGCTCGACCGCGTGGTTCAGCGAGGTTCCAGCAGTGATCATCTCGTCCACCAGCGTATTGTTATTGTTGTTGATCGATATTCACGGGAGGAAGAGAGACGGAGAGAGAGAGAGAAAGAGAGAGCCGGCAAGAGGGCGAGAGACGGCGAGAAGAAACTCGTGGTACCGAGAGGTTGGCAACGGTGGTGGCGGATGCTGCACACTGGGTGGTGGTGGTGTGCCCTGACACAGTGGTGGAACGAAGGCAGGAAGGACACGACCGTGAGAAGAAAGAGGGTTGTCATGGGGCAAGATTCCCGTGGCGTGCTGCTACTCGTCGCGTTGGCCGCGCTGGCAGCCGCGGATGCCTTCTCAATTGACAGTAAGTCGATCCGCGTACCTATTTGATCGCGAAATATTTTCGGAGCAGCGACGACAGGGGTGAATGAGAGTGGGCGAGGGGAGGGGGGAGTGGCGGGCAAGCTGGACCTGTACACCCAGCTTCACTGGTCCTTCGCGGGACCCGTGACCCGTCATCTCTCCCTCGTCCTTTATGCGTTATTTCCTATGCGGTTTTTTCCTCTTTTTTTTTGTATCGCCACATTTTTTTTGCGAATCTATGCAGCTATGATTTCTTGCACGTTTATCCCATTGTCCTTCCTTTTTCTAAGATATGTGGAAAAAAAAAACTGATCTTTATTGAACTCGAGGGTTATTAAAGTTTAAGATCGATGTTATTGACATTCTCTCAAAAGCGAATATTTATCTCACCTTGTATATCGCGAAGACGTAATTGGTTTATTTACGATCGTTGTCGGGAATGTGCCGCTGTAATTAACTGTCATTTATCTATCTCTTATTGTTTAACTTGTGTGCAAAAGAGGCGCGTTAAAAACGCAAACGTACGTAGCACTGTACGATCATATTGTACAATCGTATTATACGAAGGAGAGAATCCTTTCGATGAAACTTCTAAAAAATACGCCTTCGCGGAAGAGGGTTTCATGGCGGCCGTTCCTTGAATTTATCTCCGAAATTTTCGCTCTCGTCAGGAATGCATAATGCATCGTGTTTGATCTAATACGCTCACTGTGTAAATTTGGAAATCACGCTACAATTACACGCACATGTGCTAAATGTTATACATATTTATCACATTTGCATCTCAAATAATGTTCAGGAATTAGATAAATTATTTTTAAAATATAATTAGCTTTATACGTGCGGGTAAATATTCGAGCGACGAAACGAGATCTTCACGTGCACTCGTCCCGTCGTGATGAATCCGCTCGCAGCATCCCCCTTCGGACCGCGAATCTCGCAACATGACTTTCGATTCGACAGCCGGCGCGAAGATGTATATTATATAAGTAGACGCGCAATATCGTTCCGTTTTGTCAATGATCGCGCATATTGTTTTTCATTGTCTCCAATATTTCTTCGTCTTGCCGTGACGAATTGTATTATGTATACAGACAGGATATTAATGATATTGTATATATGCAAACAAAAATGTATGTGTGGAGAGAAAATTATTAATTGTTTAACATCATGTTGGTTTTTGTGGTAAAAAAATTGACAGAATACGTCGTACTCCCACTGAGTAATGAATAAATAATAATTAAATGATAAAATCAACATGGTTTAAAAAATTATCACTGTCAAAAATGGAACGATTTTAATTTTTCTTCCTCGTATATATAACATGGAAATAAAAAATGAACTTGCTATATTTTTAGTTAGATATACAAATTATTTCATGTGTAGTTTATCGATCATAGCTTTTTCGAAACTCGACGTAGCAGAATTTCATTCAGTACTTGGATTTAGTAAGTGTGTATTTCCATTATTAATCAATGTATGTATAACATTGATCGAATTTTACCTTAATTTGCGTTTCCATTATTAATCAATGTATGTATAACATACATTGATTAATAATGGAAACGCAAATTAAGGTAAAATTTAAGATTCAGAATATTGCAGGTCAAATAAAATCTTCAAAAAAAGAAATAAGACAAAGGAAATCCTTTCTTTTGTGTCTTTATCTCATACAATTATGTATTGTTTCATACATGTTGAGAGAATTTAAACCGCGAAAATCTGAGAGATTGAGAAAGATTTATTCTCCTAAAATACATTAAATGAGTTTAAAGAATTCAAACTCTTAATTTATGTCGTGAAAATGAATAATATTTACGCGCGAAATAAGATGATATTTTGTTTATACCCTGTGCGTGATGAACAGAAATGTAAATATTTGTTGCCAAAAGCGAAAATTGTTTCTAATTTTAAAGCCACATTTGCGATTTACGTTGATTGAAATTTCTATTTCATCATTTAAACTTTGGAAATTGTCGGAGGGGAGATAGCAAAGAAAGAATGATATCAAACGAGAAAATGTATCAACATCAAAATTATGCTGCTTTCTTGCTTGTGTTACACGAAAGTTTGTTTTGATTACATTTGTTTCATCACAGGTACACGGGATAAACTACCGGAGGGGATTTAGACCGTTCGCCAAATATGTACATTTTAGTACGTATCGCAGAGAGAGAGAAAGAGAGAGAGAAAGGGATTGAGAGAGGGAGGGGGGGAGAGAAAATTCAGATGCGTACTCGTTCGGCGCGAGTATGCAAGTGCAATTAACGTAATGATTCTTCCGGCGAATCCAAGCATTATAAGCCGAGAACCGCGAGATAGAACTCGTTGATTAGACGATATATTTCACCGATTCTGCGCGACCCCTCTATGTTCGATCTCGACTTTTGCTCTAGCTTTCTATTAGCATCGCACGATAATTTTGCCGAGGAATTCACGAGGCGGTGGAAATAGCCGCGGCGCACGTCCGCGTGATAAATCCGCATCGACAATTCCCGACGGGAGTTGTCAGGTTGTTCTGCAGACCGACGTGCAAATCGTACATGAATTTATAGAGACTTCGATAAGAGATTGCATGTATATTTAGATTACGTTAACCGCTTCGCGTACGCTATATATTTTACGTCCACTCTCATCATCATTGTAAGTTGATTGTAAGTTGATTTAACAGGAGATTTCTATCATACACGATCGTAAATTTAAATATTTCCCAAGATAATCGGTTTTGAAGAAAATTTACATATTATTCTGTTGCAAATAAATATCCTTTTATTATCCTTTGATAAAGAGATCAAGAAAAAGTGAAATTGCTAAGCATGAAATAAAATTGTCAATAACTATAGATAATAACATTTATAATTTTGTATAAAATTCATGTTAACATATTTATATTATATTTATATTCTATGATACGTAAATCCAATAATAATATCATATATATTTGCACAGATGAAAGATATCTGCGATTTCATTTTTTCATTCAATTGCCTGTATGCCAAGTATCTATCTCTCCTGTCAACAAGAATTGCGAGATAACCTTGCAGTCAATTAACGTAAATGAGCTATGAGATTACATTTGATTTTATCGTTATTGCAGTTAAACGGTTCTCATAGTATCTCCTAGTCACGTTTTTACGCGACGAATTTAACTAATGAATCATTCTACTTATAAATTTTGGCATCATCATTCAATTCATCAATTTACGTGACATATAAATTTATAAATAAAATCTGTAACATATGAGAAAGGATATAAAAAAAAACGTGAGCATAATAAGCGAATTGACTAATCATGATTATTATTGGCTATTTTAAAAAATGTGAGACTGCAATTTTGAAATTCAAATCTGCATACTAAACTGCATATTAAAAAACCAATCGCTTGTTGCATGTGTGCTTAAGCAGCACACTTATGTTTTCTTGCGATATTCTATGATTTTAATAACTTGTTGAATTGTTCTCAGTGCACTTTTTTTTCTGGTTCTTAGGTAAAGTAGCCTGTCCTTTGAGGCAGTTCAGGTGCGCCAATGGCAGATGCATTCCAATCTCGTGGGTCTGCGATAAATCGGACGACTGTACCGACAATTCCGATGAAAGCCCGGAGGAATGTAAATGTAAGTCACGTACAAAATTATGCAAAATAGAATTATAGATACAACGGCGATGACGTCGACGCGATCCATATGATCAAGCGTAAATTTACGCAATCCTTTGACGCGTCAAATTCGCGTATGAGAGCCGAAACACAAACATCATTTTACATAACAAATATTGGCACTGCGTAAACGAATAAAGCATTGGTCGTGAGAATTTTGAAAATTTCTATCATTTTCATCATTCACATACTTCTTCTAATTGATATTACACAGTGATTTAAAATGAAATTGTCGTTTCACCGAAAATCACAAAATTATAAAGATATTAATCATTATTTCGAGACATAGAATTTGATGATCGAATAAAATGGAAATGCACTCATTTTTTGAATATCCTTTTTGAAACATATTTTGCGTCAAAAACTGTACGGAGTTATGCATTTGAGCACTTTGCTCGGAGCATTAAATATTTATGACTTTGCGAATTTCGTTTATAACTGTATAGTCGATATCGATGGAAGTATTATTGCGCAATTGCATGCGTGATAATGCAAAATGAATATATGATAAGACATTCCGGAAATATTTCGCGCATATTATCGGGAGAGTATGCAATTGCAAATACACAATCTTCGAGGCACGTGTGCGCGTGTATTGTTAATTAAAATAAGTGATTTGTTGACAAACAAACCATCAGCGTGTTCGTGCGGATATTCTTGTGACGTTTCATTTCAAATAGAATGTCCAACGCGAAAAAAATCTAATTTATTGCGATTTAAAACGTCTTAGCCAATCTTTATTCGACCAATCGTACACTTCGGAATTTATTTACGAGACTCTGTGCGTCAATCGGGATCCCGATTGACGTGTAGTTAATATTTAATCATAATAATATAATAATATTACATTAGTATAACGTAAAACGAGTTTGAGATGATAATTCGCATTTAATTAATCGCTTTGCTCGAATAAAATGTGCCGATAAATTATGTATTTTTAACTAAATTTGATTTGTGATCTTTTTCATTTGGTTTTCTTAATTGGAAAATTCCAATTATATCAACTTTTGATATATGATAAAAAGGAAATCGCGTTAATAAATGGCATTAAATCGAATAATTAAAAAAATGATAAAAGTACGATAATAATCTTATTAACACATATGTACTAGATTCATACACACATCTCTTATTCTCCTATAAATATCTAATAATCTACATGACATTGCACTCTTATACGAGCACATTTTTTGCGTAATCATGAATAAATATACTCTTCGTCTAATTATTACGTCGCATAATCACCTGAAAATCGCTTGTATCTCCATTGACCTATTATTCTTTGATGCAACGTATTTAAGTATATTGATTTATTGAAACTCGGTTAAGAACTAAGATCACAATAGTTTTATATAATCTTCAATCTTTGGGAATCGTTTGAAATCTTATCGTTTTGAATCTTATGAATATATATTTACATATATATATATATGTCCCTCGACACAATAATAGAGTGAACTTTGCTTTACAAATCATTCGAGAAACTCCAATGTGTTTACCGACAGAATCTTATGGACAAAAAGTAGTATTTTGTGGAATATTTTAGCTTTTATTGAAGTCTGTGTAATGTATTTGCATATTATAGTATAGAATGATCGAAAAGATTATAGACCATAGTTCTCTTAACAGTAGTTAATTTCGAGTTTGTATCATGAATATTTGAAGGATATGAGCCTCAGAAACTGATCGATTCAACTTTTTATAAGTATCTTAATTTTAGTATCAAGGCATGTAATCACGTGGTACTAAATTTAAGACATTTACATAAAAAATCGTATTGATCGGCTTCGCTCTGCAAAAATTCGTATGTGTAACGAAAAGCAGTAGCAATTAGAAAATGTAAATGTTTCTGATGCAGTAATCTTATGCC